GTATTTCAAATAGTAAAAAATGGATAATAAAATCATATTTTATTTTAATTTTTTTAGTAATAGTTTACATGCAAGTTGCAGCTTCTATGTAACAAGTCAATAACACAATTAATTCCTTTGACTAACTAGCTAAGATCTACTACTAGTAGTACTTCATTGAACAAGATAATTGGAAAGTTTCATGTCATTGATTATATTTTATTTCACAATTAAGTAAAATTCTAATAAGGAATTCAATATTGCTTATATTACGAAGCAATGTGATTTAGCCGTAAGATGTCTTGATTTGGTTAAGAACAAGACTTAATTTTCATCCATCAATAATTAATTATAATTATTTTTTAATAATATCAAATTTGAATTAGTCTCGTTCCGATTTGATCTAAAAATAGTTTAATGATCAGTTAAAAGTTATATGTATTTTGATATTTATTTAGTCAAAAAATGATATACTTAATCTCTTTGATTATAAAACTAGTTAAAAAATATTTTAATAAAATATTGCTTTTATTGAAATTAAAACATTTTAGTTATATTAATAAACATCTATCTTGATCCTGTATGTTAAAACTAATTAACCAATCTCCGTAGTTTTAAAAACTATATATATAATTCCTAGGTACTTCAATCCAATTATAATTTAGTCCTTTAATATATTTATGTTTTTTTTTATTTTTTTTCAGGAAAAATAATACAATGAAAAATTAAGACGAAAGATGGGAAATTTCATTGGGAAAGTCGATATTGGACAAATGAGTACTGTTTATATAGTTATTTAAGATACTACGTGGACCAATTAATTAATTTTAATAAACCACAAGGGCTAAGTCGTGATTAACTGAATTTTTTTATAGTATCATTTAAAGAAAACTCAAAAGATCTAAGACATATGAATAACAAATAACTATTTGTTTATCTCAAATCGCTATTCATTTATTGTTCTTGAATGATATTTTTAGTAATTTTATGGTGGTATTCATTTTCAAATTTTACATTTTATTTTATTTTGACCTCTCATTTTTTCAAAAAAATACTTTTGGTTCCTCGTGTTTTTTAAACATATTTTGACACATCATGTTTTTATCTTATTCCAGTTTGGTCTCTCATTTTTTTAAATATATTTTTGGTCCTTTATGCTTCTAAAAAGATGTTTTTGGGCCTTTTATGTTTTTAGAATTTAGAATAAATAAATATATCGGATTATGTTATTCTTATTATTTAAAATTGATCTTTTTAATTTATCATTTCTTATAAAAATTATAATCAAATTATTATTTTTTTATTCTTTTTACACAATCTTATTTGTTAGTAAATATGATTTCCCCCTATATATGGATTTCTGAATATGTTTTTTAAATAATTAATTAAGTAGTAGAATTGACATTTTTTTTGGCTTATTCTTGATATAATAAAAAAATGAAATAAATTTTTTAGTTTTTTTTCTTGCACTCTATTAATTTCAATATATTTCTTATAATTTAAGTTTTTTAAAATATTTTTTGATTTATGCTGCATACGTAACTCATTAAATGTGGGCATGATGTATTAAAAAAATGTACTAAAATTATTGATTTTATTGAAAATTAACCATGCATCACATACATAACATCAACCATTTGTAATATTTATTTTTAATATTCTAAAATTAATTTATTTCAGATAAAATAATTAAAATAATATTTTAGAAGATAAAATAAGTCAAATACATATGTTTTATACTATTATTATTGATTTGTTTATATATATATATATATATTCAAAAAGTTAAAAAAGATTCGTTAGTTAATTTTTACACAAAATTTTATATTGATCGCTGCTTTATTTCTTTGACTTAGTTTTATGAAATATATATATATATATTAAATTTTCTATTTATGTTATTGTAGATTTTTATTTAACGAATGCACAACGAACAATGATTCATGCTTTTTTAACAATAAAATCTATGAGTAAAAATGAATGAAATAAAAAATTTGATTAAAAATTAAATTAAATTAAATTTTTAATTTTTAGTTTAATATACTTTAATAGACTTATAATATAATATAAATTATTAAACTAAAATAAATATGTTTAATTTGATTCACCGAACCAATCAGTAATTAACTCAATTACTAATTGCATTAGTTAATTCCAAGCGGTTTTCGTTATACGTAACATTGCCAATGGCTTGATGTCCCTGAATTTGGGCTAGAAGCGATCTTCATTCCCCTTTAGCCCACAAAACCATAATAACTTTTCTGTTCGCCATATCTATGACTTTGGCATCTCACGTGGTGACATGGAATGGAATAGAAGCGAACAAGTTTAGATGATTGCATCAAGTCAAGGTTGTCGGCCGGTTACTATACCCAGCTAGTTACCTGCCACGATGAACATGCAAGTTCAGAAACGCCTTCTAACAGACACGTATTATACACTTTCTTTTTATCATTTTCCCAATTTTTAGTTCCATTTGGCATTTGCAATACGTATGCATTGGGACCTATCCCAGGGTTCAGACTTCAGAAAACCCATTATCCTAGTCTTCAATCTTAGATACATATAAATTAAACAACGAGCTTAACTCGTTTACCTTCGTTTGATTCTAATGGACCAAGCCTTCAATGGAGCCAAGAGCATAAAATCCCAAAGAATAGGTGCTTCTTCTTTACCTGGAACTTAGGAGTTGGAGACTTTTCTTTTTACCTCATAAGTGGAAATTGGGGATCGGGCTGCTGTGACTCTCCAATACAAAGTAAAATACCTTCACACGTGACCATATTTGCGGTTTTATAAAATTACGTGGTTGTTACCTAGCTACGACCTATTAAAAAAAGAAGGAAAAAAAACCGAGTCAAATATTTATTTTTTCTCAGCCATTTTTCGTATTCAACTTGTTGCATAAGATTGCAAGGTTTCCCACAAGACGCACGTAAGATGGATCGGGTGGAAAATGGCATGAGCAATTCTAATGGTATATAAAATATCCATTTGATATTTTTTTAATAAATGAATTATGTATGATTAATATCATTCATATGAAATGATTCAATTGTGTAAAAGTATTTATGTGAATGCATTTATTTCTTTATTTTAAGCTGCTATTTATAACGTTTACAAGGTATGAAAAAGAAATTAGATTTCATTTGGGAAAATGGTGTGGGAGAAGGTGCAAAGAAAGGCATCTCCACTAAGTCAAAGACAATAGGAAAGTCTGTAACTCAGCATCGATTTCTTTTCCTTTATATCCAGATCTCAATATACTGTAAGCTATGCACTGCTATTTCATTTTTACCTAAATCGTGTCCCGCAATAATTAGTGGTCTCTATCGCATAGCCAGCCCTAATAATTACTTACTTTAAACGCATGCACCTTAGCAGAAATATAGGCACCCTAATTAAGCATGAAAGACAAGAAAAGATAGGAAGTGATGAGTGCTCCTCATTTTTTCTGTTCTTTGGAGCTGTCACCAAAAATCATTCAGGATTGCTACGATGCCAAGGCGCAAGGCGCAAACATTTATGCCCTTTCGACCTTCCGATCTAAATTTAATTGGTTCATTTCAGACAAACATTGAAATTTTACCACCGGCAGAATTCCAGACTTGTTCAATCATTATAGCATAAAATACCAAGTACTCCTCCTATTAGCACCTTTTGAGAGAGAGAGAGAGAGAGAGATGCTCATGCTCTTGGTGTCTTTCTCTCTTGATTGAAGATGCCAATCTCAATTTCCAGAAGTTTTTGGCCTCAAAAAATCTAATTTTTATTTTCTACATAAATTAAATATACAAATAGATCCATCACATGGTAAATAATTTAGCGTTTTTAATATCCATGCTCGAAATACATCTCACCATGTATAAGTCAGCATCAAAACTCAGGGTGACTTTCCTAATTAAACTAATCAATTATAAATACACTCCACTTTCAAGAAATCTATGGTGAAAATTCCAACAATATCTTTTTACCAACAGAATCAGTATGCTATTGCGGGAGAGGATTAAAAATTTGAGTACTTCTTTTATTATATATATATATATATGTATTTATTGCGTGTATAATTTTAAAGTTTAAAATAGGAGTCCGCAGTTTCGGACAGGTAGGGCCCACTCCTGCTCATGGTAAAAGAGTAAAAAGAAAGAGACAAACGCAAGGGGTGGCCTCGTTGAGAATCTTCGTGCGAGATGGCTCAAATCAACAGGTGACTTTGCTTGAATTTTCAAAGTGTGCGTTCTGTGCACCTTCTCCCAGTCAAACCCAATCCAAGCTACGCGCCACTACTTGTCTCATCCTATCATCCTTGAAATTCCAATCCCTGCCCTTATCCATCACCCACTCCCTCCGAGGTGCGAAGAAGGTTCACTTGACTCGTAGTGGTGCTGTATCGTTACCAAGTCTCCGGTCAATAGCCTATTAATAAAATCCCTCCCGGGGTTTGAAGATTGAGTCAATTTACCTCTTAAACTACCATCTTCAGTTCTAAATACCCCTTAACATTTTAGTTTCACAAACAATCTTATTTAAGCCTTTCAATTTTAATCTATCTTTTTAGTTAAAGGTACTCACTACCATATTTACTGTTATGCTTCAGTTCTTAGTTAATGATTTTAATACCCAATTAATTATTTATTCAAATTAAAATATGAATGATGATTTTTTTTCTCATATCATCAATATTAAGAAAATTAATATATCTTATGATTCATAGACAAGAACTAATGGATTAAAATTCACCTAATTAGTAACAAAGTATTACTAAATGATGAATAAAATTTAGAAACAATGCAAATAATGAATTTATAATACACACATATATATTAGTATAAAATAATATTTTTTTATTAAAAAGTTTGTACCATGAAATAAAGTAAATGGAATAAATAAATATTATTTTTCATGAATTTTTGAGTAATCATAAAGTAAAAATAAGTCATAGTTTAATTATTCATTATAATCATAATGAGACAGATTCGGTTGAAGTATTGTAATTTCCTTGTTGTTGGTAAGATAGAGGGATGATATTGAAAACAAAAAGAAAATGTCAGGACGTTCTTGTGGTATTTTCTAGTTTAGACAATTATTGAAAGCACGTAACCGCGTGTATTTCACGCGTTAGCATCTTGCATTGGATTTAAAGTTTGTACGCTCCTTCGCCCGCTCTTAAATATTAACACTCCGTCCACCATCCCATGTTTCTTCCACGCGTCCCTTTATAAACCCAAACCTCTCTTTCGTCCCTCTCCTTTATTCCTCACTCTAAAATTATTATTCCCTTTCTCTCTCTAGCTACTTGCCGATCTGGTCATGGATTCAAGGACGACGACGACAGCGTCGTATTGGTGTTACAGATGTACACGCTTCGTTAACGTTTCACCTCACAACGACGACGAAGAGCACAATCACACAAGCAACATCACGTGTCCTCACTGCGACGGCGGTTTCGTCGAAGAGATCCGATCCAACTCTGACTCCGATAACCGTCAAAACCGTAGTCGGGTTTCCAACCTCATCCGAAACCGCAACCGCCACAACAGCCGAAACGCTGGTGACCGGTCTCCGTTCAATCCAGTGATAGTCCTCCGCGGAACCACCCCCGCCGCCGCCGCCGAAGATAGCGAAGAAGGGAGCGCTTATGAGTTTTACTACGACGATGGAACCGGGTCGGGTCTCAGACCCGTACCGGAGACGATGTCGCAGTTTTTAATGGGTTCGGGTTTTGACCGTTTACTAGACCAATTGTCACAGATTGAGATAAACAGTTTGGGCCGGTCGGTTCCTAACCCGCCAGCATCGAAAGCTGTGGTTGAATCAATGCCGCGTGTAGAAATTAACCAAACGCATGTGGTTTCGGATACGTACTGTGCAGTGTGTAAAGAGGCATTTGAGATTGGAAACGAAGCTCGTGAGATGCCTTGCAAGCATATTTATCATTCTGATTGCATTTTGCCTTGGCTTGCCATGCGAAATTCTTGTCCGGTTTGCAGGCACGAGTTGCCTGTGGAGAATTCTGAAGAGGAGGAGGTGGAAGGGGATCTTGTGGGGTTGACCATATGGAGGTTGCCTGGAGGTGGGTTTGCTGTTGGGAGGTTTAATGGGGGGAGGAGAGGTGGAGAGAGGGAGTTTCCGGGTGTTTTTACTGAGATGGATGGCGGTGGGAATGGTGGGTATAGTGGTAACAGTCGGCCTCGTGATTGGGATTCTTGGGTTACTAGGAGTAGAAGAAGAGAGAGTATTAGTGGGAATGGAGGTTTTAGGAGAGTTTTTCGTGGTTTGGCCTCGTTTTTGAGGAGGATTAGGCCTAATTCGTCATCAAGAATGCGTGTTCATGGATCTGAATCTGAATCTATTGAGAGAAGTTATTCGAGTCGTGTGACGAGGAGGAGAAGAGGATTGGATTTGGAAGTCGAGGAGGGGGCTGATAGGTGGTGATATCATTTGTTTTGATTTTGGGGCAGTTCAACGGTGAAGAGATCGATTGCTTCTTCTGATAAATGTATGTATATACGTAGCACTTAAAACAGGTTAAGGATTTATTTACTTTTATTTATTTTTCATTTACTGAAAGAGAGCGTCTTTGTAATGAGAAGAGATTTCTCGTCTCTTAATATTGGAAAATTCTTTGTATTTGCTGCAAAAAGGATAAATTATTCAGTTTTGGTAGTTCTGAAATCCAGAAGGTAGTTGAACTGAAATAGAGTAGGTGTTTACCCGCAATGTACACGAGCAAAATGATATTCGTCTTTATTCAGCTTTATTCGTCTTAAAGCATATTCATTAGTTTCCTTGTTATTTGCTCTGTTATTGTAAACTTCATTCTATCAATTAAATTCTTGCTCTTGGCATTCATTCTATTAAATCGCACTGTTGTTGATTGGATCTGGGTGTGCTTGCTGTATATCTAGATGGGATTGGGTTTGAGGATTAAGCAGAAGATGACTGGATTTAGCTCATTTCTCTCTCGAATCTTCCCTGCCTTGTGGCACAAAAATATCAAGTTGTTCTACAATGCAGAGCTTAGAAGCAGCATGATATCAGTTATATTTGCTTGTCAAATTATGACACTACCAGTTCTAGTTTAATGATTACACGGGGGCACGTCTGATCCATTTCTTAGTAAAACGATGTGTGACTGGAGTTGGCTTTTTCTTGGTGAAAAAGCACCTCCTTTTGCTTGCATGTGCTTACATTTTTTCCGCCCTTTCTTTTTCTTTTTGTTCCACTTTACAGGATTCTGAGTGGCCTAGATGTTGAGCTTTGAGCAATGACAATGGAAGTTAAATCCAAGTATATATTTTTTGCGTACTCTGCCAAAACTTTTTGTAGAATAGGTTCTGATCAAGGTTGGAGAACCTTGAGGATCACATATATATTCTGTATGTCCATTTTTAACGTACTCAGACTCCACCCGTATCCAGCTTCATAAGGTATCTTGTTTATCCATTTTTGCGAAACAACGTAATTTACTAGTAGAATTACCAGTCTGTTCATTTGACTGATAAGATTGCCTAACAAGTAGGTAACCCATTTTGATCCTTATTTCCTCGTCATTGAATATTCAAATATCATTGTCGTTTAAAAAAAATCCAAGGATCCCAGTAGGGTATCCGATTCTTTAAAACTCCTGTCTGTGAGTGGTATAAAGAAGGATAAGAAAATTGGGGGAGAATCAATCTATGGCAATTGGCTCTTCATGTTATTAAAAAATGAGGTAAAGCATATGTTGCTCATGGCTAAATGTAGGAACCTCGTCGTCCTCGTCAAATCCAGCTATTGCTTACAAAAATTGGGCTGGTTGAGCAATTAAATATGGGCCAGCTGGATCTGCACTACTATCTACAAACAATTTAGCTTGGAGTAAAGAAATTAACAGAGATTTTTGTCCCTTTCGCCCACCTACCGAAGACAAGATGTACCGATTTCCAGTCAAGCCACCATACTCCATACTCCTCCAATTCTTAATGGAAAACTGTTTAAATGAAGACAATGTCATTCTCTTTGAAGTATGTGGGAATACCCATTTTTTCTTTCTTTCTTCAATTTAACGTTTCTTTGCCAATGGATAATAGAATCACGGCGAATGAATGGTTGGTATTGATTAATCTGATCTTAGGAAAGAGTCCATAATTGATTGACAGTGTTGGACACTTGACTGTTGAACAAAATGCCAACAACTCCCACGGGAAAAGCATATACTATAAAATGTAAATACTGTACTTTCGAGGTAATGTATAGCCTACCAAGGATGCGTTTGGTAATACCTCCCCTCAACATAAAGTAGTTTTTAAGGAGGTATTTGTTTTAAGTAAAATATTTTATAGATGATTTTTTTTTGTTAAATATTTTATAAAAAAAAAATTGATCAGTATGAAATTTCACAATTAATTGTTAAATTTATTTTATTTACTGAAAAATATTTTCGGTTCATGAAATTCCTTAAAAGTATTTAAGGAACAATAATACATTTATAATATCATTTTATTATTTTAACAATTACCACTACATTTTTTTCATTACCATTCCCTACCATTATCTCCATTATGTCACTACTCCACAACTACCATTATTATGATTGTCACTGCTCTACCACAATCACTATCGCCATATCCACCATCATACATTATCTCATTTTACCATCTTTATATATTTTTTTAATAATTATTGTGTTTTATGAGAAAACATTTGTAAAATATTTTATACAAAACAAACACTTAAAATAAAAAAAATGTCAATCTGATGTTTTTTAAAATATTTTCCATGAAATTAATATTAAAATGTCAAGATCATCGAAAAGATCATTTTTTAAACTGAAAATACATTTTTGTAAAAACACAGCCAAACACAATTTCTTTTTTTAGAGGAAGTATCTAATTGGCACTGTCCATGGCTTCAAAATCCTCGTGCCTTAAAAAAAAAAAAAAAAATCCCAATCAAGCGCCCCTCTTAAAAGGGGGGAAAAAAAGGAGGAGGAAGCATATTATAAATTACAATTTCGTGGCAGTATTTCCGAGAAAATAAAAACCGACGTGGCAGGCACTAGAACTCTCCTGAGATTAAGACCAAAAACAACAATAACAACAGCATTTCGGACAGGAAGTTATCAAGAGCGTTATTGCAATAGCAGCAAGCAACTGCCCCGCGAGCAAAATTAATTCTCCAGTAACAAACAACTAGAGATCTACAGCATCTCCTTCGTAAGAATAAGATCTCTTTCTCTGTTCTCTAAGGAGTCAATTTTTGTCTCTGATTTCTCTCTCAGTCTGTATTAACAATACAATATCTGTAAGCTCCCCCTCTTGATTTTGCTGCATTTCTGTCTTCGTGAGTGCTAATTATGATCCCTCCCTATGATTTCATTCCAAAAACTTTTACATTTTTTGTTAAGAGACATTTTGAAATTCTTGTTTCTGTTTGACTTATAGACTGCAACTTTCTGGGTTTTACAATTTTTTTTTTGGAGATCTTGTGATTAATCTGACCTCTCTCTTAATTTGCTAATTTATATATGATTTACAAATTGGGGGTTTCTTAAATTTTTATTATTTTCTTCATTCTATAAGAAAAATGTGCTTGATTTCTTCTCAGTTTAACTCTGAGCAATTTCGAATGTTGTGTGCTAGTCTGTCAAGTTTATCAATGGAGATAGTGTCTATAACTTAGACTCTTCCAATGCTGTGAAGAATTGATAGTGGAATCTTATAATTTTGGTTTGCATGTTAGTGCGTGTAAAATGTAAAATGCAGGTTCAAGGGATGTATCACTTTAGTTTCTCAATTAAGTAAATATCACTTTATGCTAATTATTTGAATAGTTACTAGGGAACATTCAGAAATATTAATTCAATGTATGCAATGGTTTTATATGTTATGCACTCAGACAAGATGGATGGCATATGATTATTTTAAAATCAATCGTTTAGCCACGTATGTCTTTTCTTAACCTGTCATTTAGAAAATTGTTTTCTTCAGTGGATTAACTGAGACGATGCTTGACCTGATGCTGCGATCAAACAGCTGTGTAGTTTGAAAGTTTTTTCATTAATGTTGTTGTTCTATCTAATCATCTTTGGCGATGTTATGTTGCCAAGTACAAGATCTTAGTTTTACCATATAACACAGATGAGCCTCTGCATCTTCTATGGGGATGGATTCTTCTTAGACTGTCCTTTCATAATGTTCTATTGAGCATCAGATTATAGTGTAAACATTGTTGGTGTAGTGTTGTTGAGAAAGTCGATGGGAATGAAAAACTAAGAAGAACGCACAAGAAATTTCACCATCAAATAGAAGTTTCTCTTGAAAACACTCAACTCAATTTTTTTTCACTCTACCCCTTTTTTCGGTCAACACAAGCACATATATTACAGGCCATGCCAGCCAGAGATAAAATCCAAAATAAGTTGGTTAATGTGTAATATTCTAGGATGTTTAAATAAGCTAAGCCAGTAGAACCAATTTTCATATTCGTATGTTGAGCTAACTACCCTGCTGCTAGCATTTTCCTTTACTAATTGGAAGCAATGATTTTGGCTGGGAAAGTTTACTAGATCCAATAAAGTGTCATATGGAGGTATTCTGCTGAAAAAGTTTGAAAGATTGTATTCTGCAGAAATTTCTTTTACTATACTGTTCTTTTCATAGCAGAATTTTCATGATCTTTGGGTGTTATGATTAAGGGCTCATTGTGCTTCAATTTAGGTTGCAGTATTAAATCCTTCTGAATTTGGAAACTTTTGAAGGTTTCAAAGACATATTGAAGGCATTGGTAGGTTTCAAGTTTGTTTTGGCACTATCTGTCACTTTTGTAGACAAGCGGGGTTGTTCGAAAGCTCTTGCAACCATGAGTTTTGTGTTTCGAGGCTCGAGAGGAGATATTGAAAGTGGATTTTCAGGCTTTATTCCTGAAAGACCTGCAGTGGTATGTTCTCTTATTTGCATGTCTGCTTTTGTGTTCTTGTATTTTGCAGCTGAGATTAGATATTCAAATATGCAGTATGAGAGATTCAATTTGACTAACACAATCCTCTTCCTATCAGCGTATTCATGCAGCTCGGCCAGTTAACTCCAATTCACTTGCTTTTCTCGTCACAGGTAATGTTTTTTACCTCTTTATTTCTTGCTCTATTGTTATTCCATCTTATTGATATGCATCTTTAACTTCACTGTGGAAAAAATCATTTTTAACCCACATCTGGCCTGTTCATTCTGCAGTTCTTTTGCTGTTCATGATTTTAAACTCTCATCAGATGTCACCAAACTTCCTGGTATGCCTTCATTGAGCTAGAGACATGGGCCTTGTTGGTGTTTCTGCTATATCTGAAACATGAACAGAGAATTCACTGGTCCTGTCTATCTATGCTTGCAGCTTTGGCTGGTTGTGGGCGTCTTTTTGATGGCCACAAGCTTGAGAATGTATGCAACTTGTCAACAACTTCAAGCTCAGGCACGAGCTCATGCTGCAGCAGCCAGTGGCTTGCTGGGTCACACCGAACTGCGTTTGCATATGCCGCCATCAATAGCATTTGCAACAAGAGGACGATTGCAGGGGCTAAGGCTCCAGCTTGCTCTTCTTGACCGTGAATTTGATGATTTAGGTAAGATGCTTCCTAGGAAACATACGTCCACATGTAACGCGTCGTCATCTCTTGAAAGTTGGAGATGCACCTAGAGATGTTCAAGACAAAAGTTGGTCCCTAGTTGCTGTGCATTTTGAATGTGCACATGCTGATGATTATCTGTCCCTCCTTTGGCAGATTATGATACTCTCAGAGCACTAGACTCTGGTAATGCTTCTACTACTTCAATGAGCGAGGAAGAGATAAATGCCTTGCCAGTTCACAAGTATAAGGTCCCTGTTCAGGAGATGTAAGTTGCCATGCTCTGCATTAATCCTTGTCCCGTGAACACTTGCAGGGTTTTGACTTGATTGCTGTTTTGTCATTAACAGTGCTAGCACATCTCTGCAACATGCTTCATCTTCTTCAGCTCCAGCCGAGGTACTTTTTTTTTTAACTGAAGTTCCATTTCGTAGTCAAAGAGAAATGCATTCTGATGCATCATTATGGTTGATCATTTAGCTTGTGCGGTCATCATTTTTGTGAATCTCTAATTGCATGCCAAGAAGACACAGGAAAGAACAAGAAACTTCACAGATAAACAAGCATTCATTTTCTACTTCTCATTTATTAATTCTCATTGCATAATTTTAAGTTGCCTTTTGTGGGATGCAATTTTGGTTCAGTTTTGATTATAAATATTCATGTTGGGTTTGGACAAAAGCATATGATGTGTTCTCTGCCTTGAGATGCAGTAGACATGAGGGGAATAGGACTGAGTTGCTGAGGGTTAATCTTTGGAAACAAAGTCATGACTTCTTCATAAACTTGCTACTTCAGTTTAATTAGATTGAAAGCAGAGGAATATATGAAGTGCTAAGGAACTTGATCCAAAATTGTGATAAGCTATCTTGCTATCTTGGTCTTTGGACCAACATCATGAATAATCAAATGGACCACAGTAAAAATCAAATGAGTGCTTTTGATGGACAATCTGCATTGCATTAAAACAGTCCTTTCTCAGTTACGGTGGGTCTGGCCTTGACCAGAAATAAATGATCCAACTTTTCCATGCACATTGTAGTTTATCACTATTTGTTATTTGATTAATGAGCAAAACCACCTGAATAACTTTAGGTCGTAGATGGAACAACTCATTTATGTGTGATTTTCATGGATGTGGAGTTAAAAGCATTTTTAATAGCTATTATGTTCCATTTTATTAATGGCAATTAGAATCTTGCTTTCAATTTAACAAGCAGACAAAGCAAGACTCGAGAAATGTGGATGGGAGCGTGAAGACTTCAGAAGATGAATTGACTTGCACTATTTGTTTGGAGCAAGTTAACAGGGGGAATTTGTTCGTAGCTTGCCATGTTTGCATCAGGTTTGTCCTCTGGCTTCTGACTCCCATGATCATTGCTTACCAAAAATCTATCCTTCATTTAATAACTTATGTTATCAACCGTCCTTTGAATTATTAGAGGTCTCACATGCTTTACATGAATCACCTGTGAATCTGTCACTCTCTTCTCCCCTCTCCCAAATTCATGACCATAACTAACTTAAAATAACGTTCTTTTACTATTGTTGATTTGGTAGTGCCTTGCCATCAGAAAAGTTACAATCTTCCCGAACCTCAACTTCTTTATATTAGACACAATATTGGGTTACCATTTGGGACGGATTTCTGAAACGATTAAAATATAACATATTCTAATTGTCTTTTTTAAGTTTCGATCTTTTAGTTTGCAAAGTTTTTATCCCGCGACCCCATCTTTTAGTTTGTAATCGGTGTCTCCAATGACAACCTACATTTGTCTTTTTTTCGAATATCTTTTTTCTGTTAACTGAATACCAGACATCTATGCTGTTACCATTGCCTTTCTGACTTGTATTCTCTCATCACTTGCTCTCAGTATTTTAACTTCTTCTATGGTTGCTAGATGGTTAGCCAATTCTGAATCAACTGTTTTAAACATCTTCTGGTGGTAAATGCTTGGCATATAAGTCATTAACAAGGATTCCATTAATTTGTATTATACCGAATCGATGACTATATATCTACATCGGTTTTTTCCTCCATTGCAGTTTCATACCAACTGCATCGATCCATGGCTGCGGCAACAAGGCACATGCCCTGTGTGTAAATTTCTGATTAGTTCAGGATGGCAGGAAAGCAGAGAGAGTGAATCAGATGGGTCAGACATGGTTTAGTGACCACCCAAGTAATGCAATGAATCTGTGTAGGAAGTATTTCTCTTATGTTTCTGTGATTGCATGAAAATAAATCCTTTGTACATTTACCTATGTAAATAATTTCTAGTGATGGCTTTTATCTAATCTTTGCTTGATCCGAGGGAATGAAGTCCATATTGCTCCCTCATTCTCAGCTCTGCATTTAATGGATTTTTGTTTAAAAAAAAAGAAAAAGAAATAAAAATAAAAATTATAAGGAGGTCACCCCTGGTGAGCATGGTTGACGAAGAAGTTCCTAGTCGGATTTTATGCATTAAGAATCCAACCATGATATAATAATATAAAACACTTGTCAAAATTATCTCATTTTATAACTTTTAATCAAAATTTTGCATCTATTTTTTTTTGTTTATGTTTTTAATAAATTTTATAGTTAAAAAAAAACGATTTGTTTTCATTTATTCTTAAATAAAAACATATAATAATCTAAATATAAATTTTTTTAAAAAATATATTAATATTTTTTTCATAGCATTACATCGAAAGAAATAAAGTAACAATTAATATAAAAATTGATATAGAAATTAACAAAGAAATCTTTTTTATTCTTGTTTAAAACTAGTGAGAATATTTTTTTTTGAATATATATATATATATATATATATATATATATATAAAATGATGAATCATATTAGTATAAAAAATTATATTTGAATTATTAGACGGCTCATCTAAAACAATATTTTAATCATTTTATTTAAAAAATTAATTTTAAAATATTAAAAAAATAATAATAAATGGTTGGTATTATGTGTGTAGATATGTAGTTAATTGTCGAGTAAAATTAACGACTCTAATTATATATATATATATATATTATGATCGTACTTATGGAATCAAAGTGTTTAGCATAAATAAAAAAATATATTTTTAAAAAATTTAAGTTATAAAAAATATATTGAAATTAATAAAGTGTAATAAAAAAATTATAAAATTGATTTTACTAAAATTTAATTATATAAAAAATAAGTAAATAAAATACATGAATTTTATTTTAAAAATTTGATTATATAAAGAATAAGCAAATAAAAATAACGATAAAAAAATTATTCAAAAATCCATACTTAAAAAATAAATCATATTTATTAGCAAATAAAATTACATAAAAAGTAAAAAATTAATTTGATGGCAATTTTTATTAGAAATAAAAAATTGAAAAGATCAATTTAAAATAATAAAAGTAATACACACACACATGCCAATTTATGTGTTTTTTAATTATTATTGAATTGGATGTGAAAATTATGAAAAATCAATCTTATTTAAGTTAACAATTATAGAATATATACAATATGTTTTTAAATTTTAGAATATATACGATATGTTTTTAAATTTAAAAACACATCGTATATATTCTATAATTTTTAACTTAAATAAGATTGATTTTTTATAATTTTGCACATCCAATTCCATAATAATTAAAAAACACGTAAATTGGTTAAAAAAATAAAGAAAAAACGGAAGGGAAAAAAAAGGAGGCAGGCCTACGTGCCTGGCTTCTGCAAGTCCAAGGCTCGCCTGCACGCCTAGGCTTGTAAAAGTAGGCCCAATGTAAGATGTGGGCTGAGCGTCTTGGAGCTCAGACACTTAAAATTTCATTTTAAATCTTTAAGAATCAAAATTAAACATGATGTAAAATTGAGAATATGAAGTATTAAAAAAAAGCTTAAAAATCACAAAAATGTAATTTTTATTTACATTGCATCTACAATACTACGAGAGAAGGTGAATAGTGAAAATCAGCGTTCATTTTCCTTAGTTCTTTTATATTTTTTTGTTAATAGCTCTGGCTAATAACTATTTCTACTTGCAAAACTGAAGGAAAAGGAGAACGTCTAGGAATTGAACAGCAGTTTCTACAACAACAACAAAACAAGAAATAAAGGTCAAACAGCATTAATTTTCTGTCTATTGGGGTTGGCTTGAGTTTATGCATTTATGCTAGTATTAAATTTGCCTCTTAAGGTTTAAGGTTTCTCAAATTTTCTATTAAGATTTTGTTTGTACATAATAAAAACTGGTCAGAAGATATCTTGATGGATAAAAATAATTAAAGAAAAGGGAGTGACCATTGAATTATATCCAATGATTAACGTCCCAGCAATTAAAATAAAAGAGATGATCATTAGGTTATATATATATATAAACGTATTAGGTTTTGTTTCGTACGTGGCATGCGATCATGACCTATCGTCCGTTGCCTCCATCATGCACTTCATCACAACTAAGTCAATAAAATATTATTCATTGGATCACTTTGATAACTAAGTCATTGACTAAAATATATGCCTCAAATTCTCATCAAGAGTGAAGTACAACATATATGGATGTCCTAATGACATAGTCTTCGATTTATTTTGTGTAGTACAACCCTAGTATAATCTTGTGAAGTCAAAGCTGTACTACAAATGAAGGAGATGATCCACCGGCTTGTATTTAACTATAAGTTTTATTTAATCTCATTGTATACAGCTAACATAAAATCCGATATTTTTCACTTAAAAATTCAGAAATCGAAGGCCGTGTAACATGATATATATAGGTGGAAAATGTGAGCCAGAAAAATCAAGAAACTTGATGATATTCCACATAATAGTTAATTCATGGCTCATTTCATCATGCCTTGTCTGAGAAACCTCAAGTCAACCTCTTTGTTGATCTATCTGTTCATCCTGCAATTCTCTTTAATAAGTAGCCACGGAGGTCAGGATAATGGTGAAAACGACGGCAGCAGCAATGGGGATAACGTACATTTGCATTCGAAAAATTTGATTTTGGTGAAAGTATGGTGTTTGATCATCCTGCTAGTTACCACCTTCGCAGGTGGTGTCTCTCCATACTTCTATCGATGGAACGATAATTTCCTTCTTTTGGGCACACAGTTTGCTGGTGGGGTTTTTCTAGGGACCTCTCTCATGCATTTCTTGAGCGATTCAGCTGAAACTTTTAGCGATCTCACTACCAAAACATACCCTTTCTCTTTCATGTTAGCCTGTGCGGGCTATCTTTTAACCATGCTTGGTGATTGCATAGTGATGTTCGTAACTAAATTAGGGGATGCAAGAGCTAGAGTGCAAGTGGAAGAAGGAAGGGTAGCTGATGAAGATAGTGATAAAGATGTGGCCATGGATGCCAATCCCATTTTCTTGAAGACTGCGTCTCTTGGGGACACCGTACTACTCATCCTCGCTTTGTGTTTTCATTCAGTTTTTGAGGGGATTGCCGTTGGAGTCGCAGGTAATTAAAACTCTTTTAAGTTAATTTTTCAGTACATGTGTTTTGCATAAACACATGTTTCTTCGATCCATGCTACTTTTCTTTCACAATAATATGGTATAATTGGAACTAATTGGTTAGTTTATTTCATAATTAATTCGTATTGGACAGTTATTGTAATGATGAAACCACATGAGATGCATGATGGGTTGGTTGCTGGGCACGTAACTAATCAAATCACTTTCTACAAAAATAGATTTTGGTGTCCCTTCAATTGTTATCAGTACAATTGCCAAACGAATAACCTAGGTTAAATTCCACTGATTAATTGTAATTATATACATCTTTTCACAACATTCATTTTTAGCAAAGCTAGGTGACAGGGAAGTTAATTAATCTTTGATAAAAATATTCATATTAGTTTTAGTAACCTTCTTATAGTTTATCAATCTGAATCCCATTTTCCTTCTAATAATTTCTCCTTGTAGGTGAGCTCATGCATATATATAAACATATAGCTAATTACAAGAACTAAATTTATGAGAAATTTTATATTATTCGTGGAGTAATTAGTGTATGTTACTTTATAAAAAGGAGATAGACATAAAGAGAAAAGAGAAATAAGAAAAAAAAATTGAAACTAAATGGAAATTTTTTGAATTATCACTTTAATGGATTCAGATATAATTTTTATTTATTTTATTTTATTTTTTTTGTTTAGCTATCTTTTCAACGGTAGGTCCATAGAACCACTATTGTGAACTACATTAGTCGTTACTTTTTGAGTATCTTAAATTTTTTCCTAAATTTACTAGTTAGCATAGGTACTTGCTAAAAGGTTATCACTTTACCCAAAAACGTACATTAATGCAAATGTGGTTTGCAGTCATCGATTCATAACTGTAACAATTGATAAAGGTTATTAATGATCCATCCATTGCTTCATTGTGAGCTTGTGTGTGTGTGTATATATATATATATATATATATATATATATCGTATGTTTCCTCAATGTGTATATGTACCTTTTATATTTAGTAATAGCTGATAAATAAATCTTGGTTATGGTTTGTCTTATTTCTAGTTTGGATAAAGGTAACTAGCTAGGCTTGAGTTGCAAAATATAGTGAGAAAAGTTTTGTTGTTAAAGATCCGTATGTTAACACTCAGTCTCATGTTTTTTGTTTTAGGGACTAAGGGAGAGGCATGGAGGAATCTTTGGACGATATCCTTGCACAAAATTTTTGCAGCCATTGGAATGGGAATTGCTTTGCTTAGGATGCTCCCAAAGAGGCCATTTCTATTAACTGTGGCATATTCTTTTGCCTTTGCTGTTTCCAGCCCCATTGGAGTAGGGATAGGCATTGCCATTGATGCCACTACTCAAGGCCAAGTAGCTGATTGGATCTATGCTATCTCAATGGGAGTTGCATGTGGAGTTTTTATCTATGTTGCCATCAACCATCTCATCGCTAAAGGATTCCAACCACAGTCCAAATTGTACTTTGACACTCCATTTTTCAAGTTTGTTGCTGTGCTCCTCGGGGTGGGAGTTATTGCAGTTGTTATGATTTGGGATTAAAACCATTCTGCTGTAATATTGTCCATGGAGACGTATGAAAATATATTTGTTGCTGCAGAAGGGAGTTCGTTTTGTGTTTTTTTTTTCTTTTTTTGGTCAAGATAATTAAATTGAACATTCTAATTAATTACTTCAGGCAATTCATGCATGTTTAAGCCATAATGGCTATAAGCATAAACTTAAAAAATTTATGCCCTATGTGGCTATCCAGTTAATTCGGAGCCCTGATGGGCATCGTGAAAACTATAGATAATTTGTTTTTTTCACTTGCAAAATCCTTTGCAGGGCTTGGTAGGTTTGCATCGATCATATATGTAGGGAAGCCAACTGAATGGCTGATTGACTTGCCTTGCATGCTTACTCTCTTCAGGATGGAGTTTCATATTTTGAGCATCCACTTATGGATGTATTAGTTTCATGTTAGAAGACATATGTGGAATAGTCTTTTCAAGACTTTGTAACACTCATTCTATTGTTTAGAGTATTCGTCTCCATTGAATTAAAAAAAAAAAAATGCCTGTAATGATGTGCCCACTGCAGAACTTAAAATTTGCTCAAATGTTTTAAGCTTTTTTTTTTTTTTTTTTTGGGGTGATACATTGTAATATGGCAAGCGCTAGTATGTGATTCGCATAAAATGGATGCTTCAATTGTTCCATATTCCGAAAGCATAAAATGTCACTGATCATCGATCTGGTGAACTTTCTATCCTTTTTGATTTGCTGGATACAAATTGACTTACAATCTAATTTGGACATACACCCGTATACCTAGCTAGCTAATATATTAATGTCTTGTGTACAAAAATAGAAATGTAGATATAGGATTAAGCTACAAGTAGCTAGCTAGCGTAGTTGGTGTACCTACAAATTCGAATTCATCATCATATTTGGTGTAAACTGATAAACAAGTAAAATATTTCACTCACTTCAATATATAGTTAATTAACGACTTAACTCCTACATATTACTTCTAATTCGTTATAATTGTAACTTGATGATTAAGCTAAGTGACTACTTTTGCCTATTTACAGAAAAAATTGAAGTAACAAATATATCGATCATTCTTTTGTTGCTTGGAAGAAAGGTGGCTCAAATGTCCTTCTCTTCCTCGGTTTTGTGATTCTTAAGTGCGAGTGTGGTTGGCACCTAGGCTATCACCAACCAATGTACATGTCCCACACTCCCAGTGAGTCACTCTTATGAAAATGATCATTAGGATGGAACTTTAAATTGAATCAAAAACAGCCTGTTCATTGATAAGAAAATTGGCAAATGGGATCGATCTCTTTGATTGCCCTGGTCGTCCACACCAACGGTTTGATCGTCGAATTCTGTAACTGAAAAGATAGAGGTTTTACATTTTCATTTACAGATACGTAATTCCCAATATATCCTTGGAACATAGATTTTGCTATGATTATGATCTCTCCTATTCCTCGTACGTATTCTTCAACTTTATTGGTGGAAGATAAATTTCATAATTACTTAATGTGGGCATAGCAAGTCAAATTTCATCCACAAACATGTAGCTTGTTTTTTGGTGTTTGAGGAAATTTTGCTGTGAGAAGAATTTTCAATGAAAAGTGTTATTTACGAAAAAGGAATATTGATTTAAAATAGCATGCTGACATTTCTTTCGATAAATAAGGGTAAATATTTATGTAAGAATTGAGGTTGTCTAGCTAGCCTATTCAAACTAGAGCTAAAGCACAGTTAAAATTAACTAATTAATTGACTTTGATTACACTCCAAATCAAACATGGACCGACAGTAGGTAATTCTCTTATTTTTTTGGTTATATCTGAAATATTTGATATTACGTAATCAACCAGACAGCAGTAGGTAATTCTCTAGCTATAAGCCATCTTCCTATATAAACACCCCCCACTGGGTCTAATGATCATACAAGGCATAAGTAAGATAAGCAAAGTTTAAGTTTCACCAATAGCATACCTCTTTCTCCATCCATTTTTTTTACCAAGAAGCAAATTTAAGTTCGTTCGGTTTCTCACGTAAAAGCATGGGTGCTTCAATTCCTGCATCACCACCAATTCTTCTGACAATGTCAGTCTTTGCCATTATCTGCCTCTGGGCATTTCCCGAGTTTGCCAGTGCAAAGCATGCAGGCATTACGAGGCACTACAAGTTCAACGTACGTATATATACACTTTTGCATATACGAACACTCAGCTAAACTGGTGTCCCATGTAGAGTTTAATTTGTCTGGCTAGCTAGCTAGCTTATTATCTTCTTCATATATAATTAGCATTTTTTTTTCATATTTTTTCAGATAAGACTGAAAAATGTCACCCGGCTGTGCCACACTAAGAGCATGGTGACAGTTAATGGGAAGTTCCCGGGGCCTCGCGTAGTTGCCAGAGAAGGTGACCGTTTAGTGGTGAAGGTGGTCAATCATGTTCCGAACAATATCAGCATCCACTGGTAAGAAACTATCATGCATGCACTTCTGTTACCTATGATTGTGTCGTTTACTAAGTTTTTGCTGTATGGTACTGTTATTTATAGTTTAATTAACAACGACATGTTGTTAAATTCATCTATGTGATTGGGTGTTGATGATTAAGTAACTAACGTCTACTTTTGTTGATTAAATTGTTTAAATCAAACAGGCATGGAATTCGACAAATTCAAAGTGGATGGGCAGATGGTCCATCATACATCACACAATGCCCTATTCAAACAAACCAGAGTTATGTGTACAACTTCACTATTACAGGACAAAGAGGAACTCTCTTCTGGCATGCTCACTTTTCGTGGCTTAGAGCTACTGTCTATGGACCCCTTATCATCTTCCCTAAGCACAATGTTTCTTACCCATTTGCCAAACCCCACAAGGAAGTGACCATCTTGTTGGGTAATAACTTACCTTTTTTTTGTTTATTTAATCTTTCTGTGACCTTTTCTAATTCGTACTTTCTCCAAAGTTAAACAAGCTGGGCAAGATGTGCTAATTAATAAAACATTCTGATTTGAATATATAAACCGCAGGAGAGTGGTTCAATGCTGATCCTGAGGCAGTGATCAGCCAGGCTTTACAGACAGGAGCGGGCCCAAATGTCTCTGAAGCCTACTCCTTTAATGGACTTCCAGGCCCTTTGTACAATTGCTCAGCAAATAGTAAGTTACTAGTATGGCACCAAAATCTGTTTTAATTTACTTACAAAATCTATTTTACTATTTTATGTAATTTTAAAAAATCTAAACGATGTAAGTAAAAATGAATCATTTTAATCATGATTTTTTTTAATTTAATATGTATTATGTAGTATTTAATTACATGAGTGTATTTTATTTGAGTTTAAACATATCCTATTAATATGTTTGATTTTGATAAATTAAAAAAAACACAATTAATTATTACTTTTATAAAAAATAATATTAGAAGATTTAATAATTGAAAGACGAAAACTGATACTGAAAGGGTGCTAAATTAATGTATACTAGAAACATGTTTAATTTTAGTTAATTAGTGTATAAAAAATAAAAAAATAACTCTTGAGAAAAAAAGTAAATTGAGTAAATAGTAAATAATGAAAAAATGGAAGTATAAAAAACAAAAAAAGCTGAGCTGAGAAGCGTCCCAGGCCTGCATGTCTAGACTGAACTTGCACGGGCTAGCTAGACATTAAAAAAAAAAAAACCACAGAGACGGATGATGCGTCGCGGTCTTTGCAACTTCTGGCGACCAAGTATCATCGGAAAAGCTTATATATATATATATATATATATATACTTGGACGTTTTATTGTTTTATAATATGCTTATTGCCTGCAGATACATACAAGCTAAAGGTCAAGGCGGGGAAGACATATCTTCTCCGATTGATCAATGCTGCACTCAATGATGAGCTCTTTTTCAGCATTGCAAACCACACATTGACCGTTGTTGAAGCGGATGCAATTTATGTGAAGCCTTTCGAGACCAACGTTTTGGTTATGGCACCAGGGCAGACCACAAATGTTCTTCTGAAGACCAAACCCATCGCCCCCAATGCATCATTCTACATGTTAGCGAGACCATATTTTACAGGCCAAGGCACATTTGATAATACAACTGCTGCAGGGATACTCGAGTATGAAACTTCTTCAAATTCGACAATATTCAAACCAATCCTTCCTCGGATAAATGCCACAAATGCTGTTGCAAATTTCACGAGGAGATTTCGCAGTTTGGCTAATTCTCAATTCCCAGTTAATGTGCCTCAAACAGTAGACAAGAAATTTTTCTTCCCAGTTGGTCTCGGAAACAGCCCGTGCCCAAAAAATCAGACATGTCAAGGCCCCAATGGCACAAAATTTGCAGCTTCAGTTAACAACATATCCATGGCTCTCCCTTCAGTAGCACTCCTCCAATCCTATTTTTTCAAGAAATCAAATGGGGTTTACACCTCTGATTTTCCAAGCTTTCCTCTCCATCCATTCAATTACACTGGGACCCCACCCAATAATACTTTTGTGACCAATGCAACCAAGGTTGTAGTGCTACCATTTAACACGAGCGTGGAGGTAGTGATGCAGGAAACTAGCATTTTGGGTGCTGAGAGTCACCCTCTCCATCTTCATGGCTTCAATTTCTATATTGTCGGAGAAGGGTTTGGAAATTTTGATCCTAATAATGACCCCAAAAATTTTAACCTTGTTGATCCTGTTGAAAGGAACACAGTTGGTGTGCCCTCAGGTGGTTGGGTGGCAATTCGGTTTCTTGCAGATAATCCAGGTTCGTAGCACCATTGCTTAGTAATAATTAACATTAGAGTACATATTTTCATTTTTCATCGTATATATATATATATATGTGCGCGCGCGCGCGCATTGAATCCAGTAAATTCAATGATTTTGAATTTTTTTAAGAAAGGAATTTAGTAATTTTTTTTTATGAGATTAATTAGCAATATTATTCTTTTGATTTACTAGTTTGAGGCTCTTTTTCCAAACTCTATATATGTGGTATACTAAAGTGGATATTACATGGTAATGTGTTGCGACGCAGGAGTATGGTTAATGCACTGCCACTTTGATGTCCATTTGAGCTGGGGCTTAAGGATGGCATGGATTGTCTTGGATGGAACACTCCCCAATCAGAAGCTTCCTCCTCCACCATCCGATCTTCCCAAGTGTTGATCAATCCTATGATCGTGATTTTTGTGTTTTTTTTTCCCGGGGGATTGCAAACTTAACTTATAATTCTTTTTGTTGTTCTTGTTGCTTTCCTAATATTTTCCCTGAAATGTTGTTAGTTGTCCCCCCAACATTCCAATTGGATTTCTCTGTATTTTCGGCTTGCCATTCTCAAAAGTTTACTACTGAGTTCACCGGAAAAGAAAACGTCGAGGTGGTTTTGTATTTGATCTATTAAGAGTTTCATTGCTCTTGGTTGGAGCATAAACAAAATTATTCATTGATGAAATTACAATCTCGCTCTCTCTCTCTCATTCGTTTTGTTCTAGTATAGATGAATGAATTGGATATTCATTTTGCAGAATCCACGATGCGATCGATAAAGATAATGTTAGGAAAAACTACACGTCTTTCCATTTTGGTCATACCCTCTTCGACCTTTGTGAATTATTATACTCCACTGGTAATTAATGCTTTAGGATCACTACAAGTGCCAAGCCACATTCGGCTCAGCATGACAAAAATTTCTGCTAAAGCAGATGTTTGGACGATAGTTTATAAAATCCACTAATTTTTACATGTCCACGTGTTTGAAATTTAGCATAGGAATTAGGATAACTAGCAAATTTTTATTTTCAATAGGGCTAATGAAAAAAATTTCAAATCCATTAAATAAATAATTAACAATAATAATAATTTACTTAAATCAAACCAATTGCATTACAAGGATTCATTATCCACACCAAAATTATATATATATATATATAACTCATGACATCAACTAATTAACATATACAGTTTTAGGTAGAATAAACAAAACTTTCGTGATATGATTTTTTCAAAAAAAAAAAAAAGATTTATGGTCAATGCATTCAACAATGTTACGAAGAAGCGTTTTAGTATCTTTAATTTGCAAATGAATTTCGTTTTCTAGAATATGAGAAGCTTTATACATGATACGTTATTTATGTAATTGCCTCTGAATAATAAGCCAATTAAATTGATAAAATAAAATGTATCATTTTTATAAGAGTTATAAATAGTCTAACCTTAATAAATATTTAAATTTAACTCATGTAGTTAAATTTTCTCATTTTACTTTATTTTATTTTTTTATATTCTATTTTTCAAGAAAGAAACAAAAAAATAATTAAAAAAAACATAAAATTGAAAAAAATTACTAGATAATAAATAAATTAAGAAGTATGGGAATTAGATATATGATTTCTAAAACTAAGAGGATTAAGTAATTATTTTGTTTAACTACAAGGACTAAGCTATAGCTTACTCTTATTTATCGATAGATCCAAAATTGAAAGCTGCTTTGTATCAGGCAACTCCAGACGTGCTTTCATTGTTAAACTCGAGGTCTCGTTCGAACAACGGGACCCGCACTTTTACGTGGCACCATCTGATTCTTTTTGTGCCATATATAAATAATACCATGCTGGAAGGGAAGAAGACCAAAACGCTCCTACCAAGTAGCTGCACAGTGACCGCATCAACTCAACAGTCATAGAGAAAGCTCTGTCCACCGCCGTTGACGACCTACCGGAATCTCAACGGTAAAATTTCCCGGCTATAACAACGATTATATCTAAATCTTCCATTTTCTTTTTGTTTTTGGAATGATTCATTGACGATCATGGACTGATTTAGTATAAAATTATTTCCATTTCTATCTTTTATGTTGTGACAAGAATAGACACTAGACTTGTACTTAGCTAATAGACCCAGAAAACTATCTTGCCCTTACGTGTTTTTTCCCATGTTGCCCAATTATTTCTTTGTATTTTGTATAATAAGTGTATTGAAGCTTTTCTTTTATACAAGCTGAATTTGGTTATGTTTATTTTTTCTTGGCTCAATTGATCTAGAAAGAAATTATGGTGCTGAAGCACTGCAATCTCATTGGTATTAGGGTTCTCTAATCTAAAAACTAAAATTAAAACACGAGAGAGAGAGAGAGAGAGAATGTAGTTTGCTTATGTAAGTGGAATTATTGCTTAGTTAATTCCATGAAATTTATGCTTTAGTTTTCTAGAATGTGATTAATGGAAGGAACAAATGGAACTCATTTGGTTTTCCATTTTTTAATTATGCCTCTTCGGCGTTAAATTAGGAGTTTCTTTTACATTTTTTAGATTTGTTCTTATGTCTAACTATGCAAAAAGAACTCAGATTCTCTTCTAAAAGATGCCACATGTCAGCTGAATCTTTGCGTTTATTGGATGCCTGAGCAGCATGACTGAGAAACAACGAGGATTGTTTTACTGAAATGAGCTACCAATTGAAAATTTATTACCTATGTATCATAAATAAAGGATTCTTGTTCTAGTTGTCGTTTGTGATTGGGTTGTTTTAGTGGAAAAGTCATTTATCTTATATTCCATTCTTTCTTCGAAATCCATATCTTTTAGGTGGCCCATAGGAAACATAAGAAACCTGTCCCTTGTGCATTTTTGCAAGCTTCATTGTAATCTTCAGGCCTCAAGTTTTCTGATGATCCGATGATTGTCTTTGAGTGTCTATGGCAAGCTCTCTGATGGTCACCTTCAATATTGTCATCTAAATACCATACTCTCAGTACAACAAATAAATTTGAAAATCTCAGTACTTTGGTTTATGGGACGTCTCAATTAGTGGTGCTTTCATACTAGCTATGTCTTTAATTTCATGCTTGTTCCAAGTTGTATCTTGAACCAGCACTAGCTGAATCATATGGCGCAAAGTTTGGGCCTTGACCATTCTTCCTTTAGCATGACAATTATTCCAAAGGTTTACTTGGGAATTATTGAAACGTTTCGCTATCCTTGGAAAATTGGAATTACTTATGGCTCTAGATGGTGCCTTTGCGTAGGGAAAATTATTCCAAGGTTTTATGTTTTAGTTTTCTAAGTTAAGTTTGGCAATGCTAGCTGTCCAAATTTGGGACAGCCATTCTGGATCACTAGATTATTCTTATGGATTTAAAATTTCCTTTAGAGGCTGAATCATTAAATTGTTGACCTATTTGTTGTTCGTCTTTCACGTATTTTCTTCGCTCAGAAATTTCAGATATAAAGATCCTTGTGCATGTCTGAATTTCTTTTTTCCCTATGCTCTTTTTCTTAGTTTTCTCAATGCTTTAGGAAGTGAATCATTTTATGGAACCTTTGCCTTTATCGCTCCCCCTTTAAGCAACAGTAGCAAGTTAATTAAATTTTGCATCTAAACAATGCTAGTTGTTTTTTGCATCATTATAAGTTACTTGGCCTGTTATTAAATACTACCAAAGTACTAGCTACATCTAAACAATGCAAGTTATTTAAATTTTTAATGGGTGTCCTTTATTGTGCATTTATCTGCCTGAATAGAAAACAATTGCATGCATGCACATTTGGAATTTGCAAGCAACTCCTTTGTCACTGTTTACCATGATTGTAGAGTAAAATATGTGGATATTGAGAACTTGAGTGTCACAGGAATCTATGTGAGCAGCATGGATGCTGGCTGTGATGCTGCTAACCAACCAAAAATGATAGCGTCAGTGATTTTAAGTGGAACTGCAAAGGCAGGTAGTGGCGGACCATCAATTGGTCTTGTCGACATTGGCGTCAGTGAAAATGCATATCTTTTCCGTGTTGCACTGCCTGGCATCCGGAGAAATGAAAGTAAGTTTCTTACCTCAAATTTTGAATAGCAGTGGCTTATGCTGAGCATAATGCTCTTTTAGCAGTTTCTCCATTACGTTTATGGTTAATTCCATTAGAAGGAAATTTAGAAATGTGATAAGCACTATTAAATACTAAGGCTAAAAGTGTAGAGGAATGGCCATGGCATGTCACCTTGAGATATAGGAGCTTACCTGGTCCATTATGCTTGTTTTTGCAGGTAATTTAAAATGTGATATCCAACATAATGGGACTGTTCACATAAAGGGTGTGGTAACCATTGATGCTGGAATTCTGAAAGATTCATGTAGTGTCTTCCAGATGAGGGTCCAGCAACTATGCCCTCCCGGACCATTCACCATTTCTTTTAAATTGCCTGGGCCTGTTGACCCTCGACTCTTCTGTCCAAATTTCCGGAATGATGGTGTCTTGGAAGTGGCAGTTATGAAATACAGAGTACCAAGTGTTCCAACAAACGGGGTTCCACCTTTGTGAGCTTTTTTTTTTTTTTTTTTTTTAATTCAGGAGCTTAATTGCGTTATTTATGAGAGCATATAAACATACAACAAGCATGCTGTTAAACAGTAGGCTAGCCCAAAAAAAAAAAAAAAAAACCCCTGAAGCGGGGACATTGCTCACGGTGCATGTACTGCCAGATTTTCTGCTGAATGCATGACGAATCTGGTGAAATTTTGTATTGTGTATATCTATCAAACAGATAGTTACATTTTCAATGATGACCAAAATTAGTTCTTTCGTTTCCTTCAATACATCTCAGCTTTGGCTCTACCATTTTTTTTTTTTTTTGGGAGAAGCCGTCAGGGTTCATTACTCCTAGCGCATGCAAGCTTTCAGTTGATATTTTATTTGTTGTAGAAAAAATTCATCAAAACAAAAGCTAGTAGACAGTGCATTGACTGGTGATTACTGATCAGTTGATATTGTAGCTCTCTGCTCGGTAATGTAAACAGTATATTAGATATTTATCCTCAAATTCACATGTTTTTCTCATCAAGCCTTCACTCAGGTTGACCAAATTATGGAGGGCAAAAGCTATAAAAGTTGAATGGCTGATAGTGGTGTTTTCCAGCCACCATTCTGGATAATAAACCATATCAGCATGAAAGAACTCAGAAGTGGTTATAGCAGACCTCACAGGATAGAATATGTTTAAATTTGTTATGGTGTTGGATAATTTATAGTTCATATATTAAATGGAGTAATATGTGTGACTTATCATAAATATATTACCCCTTTTTTTTTAATGGATTTCATACCATGGATTTTAAACTCATAGTTCCTTGTGCATTTTAATAGTTTTTTATATATATATACACAATTACATTTGTACAGGCTGTATTTCTTGCCTGCTATTAAAATCAGATCTTAATCCTCCGGCTTTGGCTATTAATTTTTGTGGTTTTATAAATGGCAAGTTTAAACATGCAAGTTGGCAACTTCGCTAAAACTGCTGGAATGTTCGGGAGATTTATTGACTTTGATGGGCACTCAAGAGCTGGATTTTGGGACTTTTTGAGATTCAGTCGCTGTAGTCAATTAATGTTACGGTTTGGTCCCTAATTCTTTTAGCTTGGTGGGTTTTTCCATTCAGAGTGGCCCTTAGCCCCTTACCTAATTAAAATATATAATCCAATGTGATGCTTTTTAAATTCTTAATATAACAATTTGGTAATTTTGTTTTTAGAAAAGCAATTTAGTAATTGACTTACCAATTTAGCGTGTCCAATTTAAAAGATATCAATCATATATGAAAAAAAAGAAGAAGAAGAAGAAGAAGAGAGAGTGGAAACACATAGGCCCGTTTGCTAATAATTCCTGAGAGTACAGTCAGTTTCCATGTCAAAAAAAAAAAAAAAAAAAAACATACAAACAAACAGAAGAAGTCGGTTTTTTTTTTAAGGAGTAATTAGTGACATGCAGATTCACTCGATATTTTTTAATTTTCTCTCTCCTACACAGTAGTTCTTGAATATTATAAAATTTCTCACTTGCATAATCAGGTTTTTCTTCAGCCGATTTGCTTACCCTGAAGGCAGAGGCAGAGAGAATTAAACATAGACGTGAAGAGGAAAATCAGTGAAGAAGAATTAACACAGTATCGGGGGAACAAGGCAAGCAAGTTGAAGTAGTCAAAGAGATTATCGTCGTCTCATGATTCGAATCCCTTTGGTGATGCCAATTTCGACGAGAAATTTCTCTGGTGAAAAAAGATTGAGCGTTATATTGCGCAAGGGCTACCTTCCTTTTCTGTTAAAACAGAATGAAAGAAACAGAGAGAAAGAATGGAACAGATTGACAAGGTTAATAAAAGAAGAGAGGTAAGTGTACTTGAGAAACAACTGCACGAGGAAGAAAGGGAGTTATTAGCCAGAGAATGTGCCCGTGATGAGTTTCAGGATTGGCAGAAGAAAGATGAGTTTCTTTTCAATCAGAACAAGACTAGGTCTGGTATCACAGTACGTCATGGACGGACAGCGCCTATTGATATTCTGTCCAACTACGTTAATTGTTAATGTGCTATCGGATTGTTCTTCTGAGGTAGATGTAGAGTTAGAAGAAGACCAACTTACAGTTTTTTAGGGATTGGTCAGTACGAAAGAGATTGGATCGAATTTTTCGGTTATGGATGGGCGGTCCCGGATGTGTAGTGATTATTGGAAAGCAATTCTGGAAATTTGCATTTCGAAGACAGCTGAGGCTAGCTAAAAAGGATGCTAGTGTTTGTGGGGTGAGTTGTTGGTAGAAGAAAGGGGTTTGCATTCTAGCGTCCAAGCTGAAGTCAGGAATATTTTAGAAAGGAAAACTTCAAGAGAACTGGAAGCAATGCAGTCCGAAATTGAGTTACGGATGAGTATGGGCGCGGCTAAGGTAGTTGATTACTGGGAGACTTCCCTTAAATGGCTGCCAATGTACAACGCAAAGCTTGTTTGAAGCAAATTCATTCTCAGTACTTGCAAAAGCCTTTGCAACACTATGAGCCTTCTTGCAAAATGGGCGGTGCTGTTCTGCAATTTGTTGTGAAAGATGAGGTTGAAGAAGAGGCTGGATCATTTTCACCTCAACTTTTGTATGGTGATAATAGTGAAAATGAAGCAATTGACCCTGAGGAGGACAGGAGTATACTAGAAAACGCGCTTATAGCTGTAATTGAAGAACGAAAAGATCAGATTCAAGAACCTGTGGCGCGAGAGCAACCTCCATTATTGGAGAAGTTCAATCTGATTACAGCCATGGGAGCCATGGAGGAAGGTGATGTAGTAATTGGTTCTGATGCTGAACTGAACCTGGATTCACAGGTAGAATGGTGGCTTGACAAGTACCGGACAAGAAAGCCCAAGTATCTCAATGCTGTTCACACTGGATATGAATAAAGCAAATATAACAGAACTCACTCTGATCATGACAATCCACCTCCGAAGATTGTGCTAGGATACAAGTTTGCTATCTTCTACCCAGACCTGATTAACAGGACAGAGACTCCAACTTATACATTTGAGACTGATGGGAGCAATGGTGAGACCTCCATTCTAAGGTTTCATGCAGGGCCACCTTATGGGAACATTGCATTCCGAATTGTGAAAAAAGATTGGGATAAGAGTCATACAAAGGGATTCAAGAGCATGTTTGGTGGAGGCATTTGTGGCTTCATTTCAACTTCAGACGCTACTCCTATCGCAGGTGACATGTAAATAACCTTGTGGTGGAATAACGAATATTTTGTATCAGTTGATCGATGACATTCTGGTCACTAAGTGGTCTTTTTCCATGTTATTGCTTGATCTTATTCTATTTCAATCCTGCTAGTTGCAATAAATAATTGACTAGTTCATATATTCATTAGTTTTAAATCATTAGACCATATACAAAAGCTTGTAATGCTTGATTCTGCTCAAATTTAAAAACTGCAAAACTTTTTGTTGTGTTTTCTGTGACTGATTTTTGGAAAGTTAGAACAGAATGCAATTCAGTAGCGCTTATAAGTAACACCTTTCGTCTCTTTTTGTTTCTTTTTTTACCCTAAATTCAGCCAATGTTCTGCTGTAGAAAAAAATGACTGGGGGCAGTTTCACCTGTGATTAATAACGTAGATATTCAACTACGGATGCTAAGTAGCTAGACATTAAAACCAGGTGTACTGAATAATTTCTCCGATAAAGTGCATCACATTCACATGTTCCATTCCACACAAGGGCACGTGGGCTGGTGTTTTGGTGACGCATCTAGTTGTACATATTGATAGGATTATGGATGGAGATGGCTTGATAGATCCTAGCTAGAGTGAGACTGTTGAAAGATTTGATGAAAATTGAGAAGCTAGAAGCTTAGATATTTTCTCAATTATGACAAGTTCTTGTCTTACAGGTGACCAAATGCGTGGGACATGCCATGTAATGTCATACCATTTGTGGGTTCTGATATTTTTCAGTGCTTAAATGACAAAAATTAGACGCTGTGTGCTGATTAGTGGAGGGAGATGTTTGGATGGAAAGAATCCAGATTCCTACTTTAGAGTCAAACTGTATTTAAGTAGTTTATATTAGTATCATTTTTGTTGATACTACCTTTCACAGAACTCTTTTTTATCAATGGTAGAAAGATGAGTGGCACTCCCAATGCAGATCCAATCACTAATAATTTCCTACCTTACCGCCAGTTCCAACAGCTGAAAGGAATCTCTTTCCCATCGAGACAAAACAGAGAGGAAAACAAAAACAGAAAAGAGATGAGATAAGACTGGTATCAGACAACTCCAATAATAGACCAAAACAAGTCTGGTTAGTGTTGAGATCCAATAGGACTAAAATCTATGCAGTACAAAATAAGTAAATAATGAATGAAGAATCATCGAAGTAAATGTAGCCAAGATAATTGGAGATTTGATTGGATTATGTTTGATATATGATCTCTTGTAACAAAGATGAAAACTCTAGCTCTCTTAAAATTGTAATTACAACTGATATTAACTCTCTATGATACCAATATCTTCTTGGTCAGATGGTAGAAAATTTACGAGTTCAATCAAACCCAACATCCATCTTTCAGAAAGAAAAGGAGGAGAAAAAAAAAGAAGGTAGAAGAAGCAACCAAGAAGATACATTTAATCTCTTACTCGATCTGTTTGCACGTTCCTTCAAGAATCACCATGTTTGTGCCAACAAACAAGCATGGCAACACAGCGCCTCATGATATAAAACCTTGCCTTCTGTTCCTTGGCTAAGCTACTACATTTACGTGAAATAGAAGAACTTTTTGAGAGAAACTCCTTGGAAGAGAGCACTTTGGAGAAGAGCTTTTAAGGGATGAACTCCTCAAGAGAGGCGCCTTGGAAGATGAACTCTTTGTTGAGAAACTTCTTGTGAAAGAAGATGAACCTTCTTTCTTTGATAGCTTCCACTTCTCATCCATCTAACCTTAGAACCTAGCAGCTGGCTAGCTGGTAATAGCAAGTGATGTGATATGATACTTCTTTGTATGTATATGCGTATGAGAGTGAGAAAGAGTGAGTGTGTGAGGGGGAAAGAGAGAGAGAGATGGGATATATCAGGGATGGGCCTTGGGCAGTAGTGGGGCTTTGTTATTATATATAGTAATGGAAATTTGGGTTTGAAGATGTGAACCGGTGTTCCATTTGCTCCTCAAATTTCTTGCTTGTTTCGTATATTTGGTCACATTGTATCCACAATTTTTTTTTATTTGCTCTCATGGCATCATGTTATTGGCCAGTTCTCTGTGGTCTCATGGACGTCGCTATTCTTACTACTACCCTATGATTTCCTCATTCTTGAAGGTGATCCATCATTTATTTTGGAGACACTGCTGTCGTACGGTGCTCCATTATGGGCACTAGTATTTTTCAAAAATTTTTAAGGTGATCACACACTCGATAGAAAAGGAGGGAGTGAAGAGAGGTCAGTATACAGTTATTATTAGCTGGTTCTGTGAAGAGGGTTGTGCCCATTTTCTTCTCAAAGGACAGGGGTGGTCGGTATAATAATTTAAAATGTTTACTACTTGTGGTGAAACAGGAGCACGTTCGATATGCATTGAAGTTGGGCTTCTTTGCTTCTGTACGTACTAACAATACTTGATGAGGTCCCAGTCATAGTTGCTATCTACCTAGTTTCTCTCTTTGGCTTTAGCATTAACTTACAAATTTGTCTACCAGTAATAAATCTTTCACTAGTGTAATTAATCTAACTTCAACAATAATCCTATTTAGGGCAACGTTGCTGTTTAGCACCGATCGATCGATCGATTACGTTAGTCTACAACCGGACACAGTCATAGTTTATGAATTGAATATTTATAGAACTCAGTTATCATTTAAAATTGTTCACATTAAATGATATTGCTGCTTTAGCCTTCCGATTAACTAGTTTCGAAAAATAACACTTGTTTTTTTAAATCATTTTGGAAAGAAAGGAAACTGTTTGGGAAAATGGCTTCTATTCTCTTGCCTTGGATGCAGAATCTTCGTGCTTTTTCTTCTCATGGGATTCTTTTCTCGATTTCTGGTTAGTTAATTAAGGTGCCAATGAAAGATGCCATATTAGATGAGATTGATGTTCGTGAATCCCCAGTATGTATATATACCCTGTCTTTCGTCCTGAATGTCTCCATGCTATTGCTAGCTAGATGACCCCTTGATTATTATGCCATGCATTAAATAGCATAGGAGATTGTACTGCGTTTCATATTCTCATGTGTGAACCATGGAATTTTAGATTCACATGCACATGCAACCCTTTGGGGGTCAATAGAAATGAAGCTTAACGTTCTTAAATCAATCAATCAATCAATATGTATATATATATATATGAAATTTGAAGTTACCACGAATAAATAAATCACCAATGGTGCTCTTCTGAAACTGACCATCTGACGAAATTGATTTGTGCTCTGCGTCATCCGGTGGTGGACAACAAACTTCAAGATTGTTCATCTTAAGATATTATTTAAAGCCAGACTATCCCATGATCAAATGCATTCGTAATCAATTATTGATTTCAAAACTTTCCTACAAGTAATCATTGTATTTTTTTTTCCATCGACAGTCTTTAGAATGTACTTTATCAAATTAATGGTACTTGAAAATAATCATATAAGAATAAGCTAATGTCTTTCAAAACAACAATCAATACCACTTTGGTCATGCTGTTTAAATTGGGATTTGGTTTTCCTTGCCTTTGATTTAAAATTAAAAACATCACTTCCAAGTTGTTCATTTAATGATAAACAAATCAGTTTCTAGATGTCTTTTTTGTTAATGTGTAGAGCTTGAATCCTAAAATCGTATTTATTAAAAAGAATTAAATTTTATCGCTTTCACCTTTAATAGAATTAGTCGTATCTTCAATGTGAAATTGAAATAACCAAAATTAAAAACATTAATTTTACATTAAACTACATGTTAACGCGTAATTCAATTTAGATTGATTGTTGTTTATTGAGTTATCTCATATCAATTGTGAAAAAAACGAGTGATTTGGTTATAAATTTTTTAAAAAATCTTATTTCTTTAACTAATTTTTAAAATTAAGAAAGTTAAATATCATCCAATACTGATATCAAAATTCAATAGCACATTTAATTGAGGTGTAGCATAGTACATTTAGTCCAAAGATAAAGGTATTGACTTTATGTCAGCCCACATATCTAAACTCTTAATTCAACTTTGACCTCATATTATTGAACCTTCCATTTAAGTCATTCTATTCACATTGAGATGCGATCTTCGCTCAAATTTAAAGACATATTTTATATTAAAACGCATATTTAAAAACTCAATTCAATCTAAATAATATGTCATTAGATCACATCTTTATAATATACAATTCAAATTAAATTGAATGTTATTAAATTTTTAAATATGATGATTTGTGCACATATCACCTCTGTGTTTTAGCGAAGGGATTGAATGATCATATTCTTTGAATTGAACCCAAATACTCACAGAAGGAAATAAAGAAATTATGCTATTGTTTGACTGGTCAATATTTGCCCAAATACAAATGTAGATACCACCCACCTAGATATATTTATTTATTTTTATTTTTTATTTTTTATTTTTCCACCCACCTAGTTTAGCTTTCAGCGAGACAGGTGATTAATACCGGTCGTGGTTTGTAAATTTCGTACACAATTAATAATTATTTGAAATGAATTACCATCTCCATCTCCATGTGACCTTAACACTATTTCAATCATCTTAATAGAATATTTGAATCAGCAGACTATGAGAATCATGTCATATAAATTTAGCATTTTTGTTTACAGGTGAAGATGGTTTGTGCATGTGATTTATGACATAAGCCCACATGAGATATATAGAGAGACCATCCTTCCTGTTTCTTTCTTTCTTTATTATTATTATTATTTTGATAAAAGAGACCTTATGAGAGACCATTTCTTCGGAAGTATAAAGGGTTTTAGTGATTTCATAAGGAATCCTTCTGAAGCCTGATATTGACAAAGTCTAACTCAAAACCATAAATCTCTATCACATTTCTTTGCACAATGTGAAATCAAACCCAGAATTTCAATGTAATGTAAAGTACCAAGGAACAAGAACAGAGGAGAAAATGTACTGGCTAGTCTGCTTTGGTGTATCATTATTATTATTACTATTTTGTGGTACCACTTAAAACACATTCTGATCTAGACTAAAAGATTTGATTGGTCAAAGAGATAGAATAGAGGAGTCAAAATCTAGCCACATGGTATGTTCTATTTGGTATACAATGCACCTTTCTACTCCCCCCCTAAGACTCTTTGGGCATAGCAATTTTTTGGGTTAATCATGTGAGCTCGAGAATATGAACATTTTAGGAGACCCACGTGGAGACATGTGAGCTGCACAAGGGATGGTCAGGGTCGGGGTGGGGGTGGGGGAGGGTGACGTTATGAAATCATGGATCCCTTTATACTACACTCAATAAAAACAACAGGTCAAACTTTCCATAATTTTGTGTCTATGAATGGTCCATTGATTTTTTTTTTTTAAAGAAACAAAATAATTAGAGAGAGTCTTTCACAGTTCATATTGTTGGCTACATATACGTACATACCTATAATGTTTTACACACAAAAGTGAAAGATGACGTTTGAATTTGGCTCATGTCTCTGGTTAACTGCAGATTACTAACATGTACAGGTCATTTATAGCTGGTGAAATATGAGTGCTATAAAGAAGACCTCTTTATCATGACATGAGTCAACCGGTGCAAATTTACCCCCTAGCTAAGCTAAAAAATAACCCTTTTTTGTGTAATATTGTATAGCCCCCCTGTGCACGAGGATGTTGATTCTTCTTTAAAACAGAGTTGTAGAAATTGAGAGATAAACCAAGAGAACACAATACTTAATTATGTATTTAAGATGATTATTATCCCTATTATAATGCTACGAGGCTTAAAGTGATTATTGCTCCTACTATAATACTGCAGGAATTTTAGCAAGTCATCTTTAAAATTCAACTTTACATCCAAAAAATTACAGATAACACTTATGAAATTCCTTCAAGAGAATTTCTCTTGAATCTATAGAATTATAGGAAGAAAAGAGTTTTGAAAGGAGGAGGAGGAGGAGGAGGAGGATTGTGGAAGAAAAAATTAATACATTTTTTGAACAATAGTCATCTATTTATATCGATGACTCGAAAACTTTTCATAACCAATATGACTATTAAAAAGCTAATTTGATTTAATGACAAACTATTACTTTTAACATTCATAATCTAACGAGTCATAATCGTTATTTTTAACAATCATATTCTTTTTTCAAAAATTAATTAAATGTCACTAAAAAAATATAATTAATTAATTAATAACGAATTTAATTTAATAGAAAAGAAAAATAAATCCAAAATTAAAGAAATCAATTATTATATTTTTAATTTCACCTATTAGCTTTCCTTGTCAAATTTGAGTTTCCTCTGAATCTTCCAATTGAAAATCTTTAGAAAAGGTCTACTTATAAAGTGTCTCTTCTTTTCTTTTCTTTCATTTCTAATATGAAATAAATATTTCATTTGAAAATACTTTGTTCACCACACTTAATTTATTATTTATCTAGGTCGAGTTTTTCCAACAGAGAATATATGGACTACATAGTCGTTGGTATCAATCGTGCTAAAGGAAAATTTTAAAAATTGAGAAATCCTCTGTCTCGTTATACATTGCATTAGTTACCCAAGAAAAACGAACATTAATCCTTGTAAAAAAATGAAAAGAGAATTTCCTTGAGATAAAAGGTAAATTGTTGCCGACCATTGAATCCAAGCTTTTCTGAAGTTCAATCTTAAGAGATGCGTATTATATATTGATCAAAGGGGAATTAAAAGGAAAAAAAAATCACAATTACAAAATACACGTTTCGGAGGTCAAGGAGCCCAACATCATATTATTAGTATGCTCAAAGACATGCCACATTTTAAACTTACTTGGTTGAATTTCCAAATCTTTTCGATGGTGTTTATGCTTCAGGAGAAACTAGTAATCAACATATATATATATATATATATATATATATATATATATATATCATTCTTATACTGTGAAGCTTTCAAGAGCTTTATTAGAATATTAAAAGGGTCTTTCAGTAATTTTTCTATTCTAATAGCTAGTTTTATATCTTTTTTTATAAAATTGGAGTAGGAGTTTTGTTAATTAGGTAAGCTGCAGTTAAGACTGCATCTCCCCCAAAAGTAATAGATAAGTGTGATTGAAAGAGTAAGGCTCTTGCTACAATCAATAAATGTTAGTGTTTATGTTCAACAAGATCATTTCGCTGAGGTGTTTCCACACATGATAACCGATGAAGAATATTCTTTTCACAATAAAAACTAGAAAGATTAAACTCGGGATCATTATTTGACCTCAATTATTTGATATGAAAACCAAATTAGTTCAAAATGAGGTTGAAAAAGGTAGGAATGATAAAGGTGATATCTTACTTGTGTTTCATGAGAAACACCCATGTCATTCTAGTAAAATCATTAACAATGGTAAAGAAGTAATTATACTTACAATGAGCTGCATTAGAATAAGAACCCCAAATATCAATATGAATTAGTTAGAATGGAACAATTATGCTTGAAGTATGAGTAGGAAAGGGAATTCTTTTGTGTTTGGTCATTGGACAAATAGTATAAGGAATTTTATTAAGTTTTCTATCAACATGTACATCGAACAAGTTTGATGAATGACACTTAATTTGTTATAAGAAAAGTGACCTAATCCGAAATGCTAAAACTCAAAACAGTCTTTGACATCAATAACATAACTAGTATTTACGGTAGGAATTAAAGAATGAACAATCTGGTTCTCATTTAGAGCAAAAGATGTGGTTGAATCTTGTAGCAAGTAAAGACCTCCTTTAACTCTAGCAAGGCCAATCATTGTACATGAAGGAATTGCATGGATAAAACAAGAATCATTACCGAAATTAACTACAATTTGACCGGTTGAGGTGAGTTTATTAACCGATATGAGATTAATTTGAAATAAAGGAATAAAAAGAACATTGTGTAAAATCGAGTAGGAAATAAGATTACGAGTGCCGAGTGTGTAACAAGGACTTTAGTACCATATGGGAATGATATAGAAGTGTGTTCAATGGCATGATAGGAATCGAAAAAGCTCAAGCTACAATAAATATGATATGATGCTCATATGTCTATTATCTAGGATTTATCATTCACAAGACATGTCAAATGCTTTGAAATTTGTGTGCAAAAATGATATGTGAAATGAGAAGATTTTATACCTATCATGTTTGGTGAATTAGGAGAAGGAACATTAGCCGATACGTTCGTTCATTAAGAATAGCCATGTTCATTAAGAATAGCCATTAAGTGATGAATCCGATGATGAGTCAACGATACTTATGACAATGAATTATTAACTTTAGTCACTAAAGACGAATCAACGAGTTGAAGCAACATTTACGGTAGAGGTTGAATTTTTTGGTGAATGTGTCACATAAAATTAACTCGCTGATTGGTTTTCTTTATGCTTTGCAAACTTAGGATTAAGAGGAACTTCAATCAGTTTAAAACATCTATCTTTAATGTGTCCTGGTTTTCCATAATGTGTGCAAACATACACATTTCTAAACTTGTTACAAAAAGCTCCCCTAGATGTTGTGATTATTGATGATTCCGCAAATGGTTGAAACCGACTTTGTGTATACCTCTATGATTCCTCTCTAACTACCGGATTGTAAACTTCGTCAAGAGAAGGAAATAGCTTCATCATCATTACATGTGATTTTTAACTAGCAAATGACTCATTTAGTCCATTCAAAAATCTAAACATAAAATCCTTCTATTGCAAATTAAAATATTTCTTGAAGTAAGCAGTAGCCGTATTTTCACACTCACGGTAAGCTAAAGTCTATAGCTCCTCAATTCTTCCCAAACGAGTTTAGATTAGTGAAATACTCATCAACACTACGATTTTCCCGACTAATTACACATAATGCATGTTATAAGTTACAAATCTTGGAATCATCTACCCGAGAAAATTGCTTCTTCAATACCTACCATATTTTTGCAATTGAATCCATGTAAACAATTGTTGCAGCAATCAAAGGTGAAATCGACTTGAGAAGCTAGGAAATAATGAGGTTGTTGCATCGCAACCAAAATCCAAATATTGCAATATCTCTAGCTAGTGTAGCAATCGAACCATCAACAAAACAAGTCTTAGTTCGAATTAATAATGCAAGCAAGAAGGAACGACTCCACAAGGCATAATTGATCAAAATCAACTCAGGTGAAACCACCATTGTACTATGATTATCACAATGGTGAAGATAAAATGGAGATCGTGGATCCTCTATGACAGTAGTAAAGAAGGAGCTCGTCATTGTTGAATCTAAAATTACTCAAGAAGAAGAAGAAGCCGAAACCTCATTTATAACCTGCTCCGATACCATGGTTGAAAGTAAGAAAACATAATTGAGTAAAGAAGGAAGGTAAAAACAGAGATGAATAGAGGAGAGGGACGAGCTAAACAAAGGAGAGAAACATGGCTACTTCTTCTCATTCAATTGAATAATATGTTACAACCAACAATTTCGAAGGGCTTCTTCTTTCCTTTTATACCAGGAAGAAGAAGAAGAAGAAAAGTTTCGTTTTGTTACAAACAAAATCGAAATAACAAACTCAAAACTAACTTTGTAACAGATATAAAACTAGATGTTAGAATAGAAAAATTATTGGAAGACCCTTCTAATATTCTAATAAACTCTTCAGATCAATGGGCAATTAGGGTATGTGGTTGTGTGCTAGCTATATATGCTTGGGAGAACATGCATGATGATTATACGCAAATGGAACGGTGATAAAAAATTAAGCCTATTTAGGTCTGTTCATGTGGTGTTGTGGGCAAGGCATTTTCCAGATATCACGGGTTTCTGTGATGTCTAGTAACATCAGAGGTTCCATGGCCCTTAGGAGAGGAAGGTTACTAGCAGAGAGAGCTAATTAATTCGTGAAGCATGGGATCAAAATATTGTTGGCTAAAATTATATTTCACATTTATCGAGTAGCTAGTATTGTTTTAGTTCTTAAAATACTTTTTAATTACATATTTTTAAAAATATTTTGAGAACCTTTCCTTTCAATTAAAAAAAATAATTTTATTAAAGAATGTATTATTATTATTATTAATGGCTACTAAATTGGACCAAAGTATTTGATTAGCTCAATTGAAAAAGATAGTATTCTAGAAAAACCATTTCAATAAAAAAGAAAAAATTATTATGTGAACCTAAAAAATAACTCTTTAACACGTTAGGTGAAACTCATTGATAGTTTTACATTGTCTCTAACGAGTATAAATGTACTTAATTGATAAAAACACGGAAGTTGGTATGCAGGCAAAGTTATCACCTTTTTGGTGTAATCAATTCTCCCGTTTTTCAATCTCCTTCAATCAAGAAATTTGTGCTAAATAATCTGCTAGTCTATCATCCGGTGGACTTACAAAGTGTTATATCATGTCTTTATTTATTTTTATTTTTTTCTGGCAAGACTATAGGCATATGTTTTCCTCAACGTCCATCGTATGTTGCTACTCCAGTTCTCCAAAACTCCATCGTAATGTGGATGCTAATTACATTTTTATTGTTGGGTTTCTGCCGTCTTATATGGCTACCGAGTGCGTTTTTCGTTAGCTTTGCAAGCTAATCCTGGGTTTTCCGGCTAATGTGAAGACCAATTTTCTTTGAGACTCATGAAGATCAGACTGTAGGGATATAATCCTGCAATCGCTATCCAAAAATATGGTTGGGGTTTCACAAGCTACGTACTGTTTTTGGTTTCTCATTTGATGTCAGAACACAGCTTATAATGTTTGTTTTATAGCTTCAATAGTTGCATTATTAGCTAGGGTTATGTTTGCTTTTAGTTTTCATTGTTGGTTTGTCTTTTGTTTCCAAGTATCCTGGTTGCTACGAGATGCTTGTTCTTGTTGGTATTGTATAGGCACAGCTTGGTGTACCTTTCTCTCGTCTAATTGGTAGTTCATCTTGAGTTATCCAGTTGTGTTTAATGAGTTGTCTTAATCTATAAAAAACAAAAGCACAATAAGAAGAAGAAGATGATAGGTTTTGGTGCTCTACTCTTTGTAATATATATATATGCGGAAGCTTAGTTTAGGTATATGGAGCGAGAGATATCTTACTATTTTATTGCAGCATAATTTTCATAATGCACTACTACACTTGCCTCTATTTATAGGCATTCTTAAGCCTACTCTATCTAGTGGGTTCATAGAACTGCAGGTTATACTATTTTACAGCTCATCTCTTGCTTCATTACACTCATTCCGTGCTTAATACTTGAATTTTTAAGTATAGAACTGGAATAAAATCATCAGTAGCTTAATCGTTAAGTACTACTTTGTATATAAGAGCTACGTACAGCTCATGCTTGCATAATTTCTAGCTAATAACCTGCTTCACTTTAAGCTGCAACTTGGACTTCAATCCCTTCACATATCTTTGGACAAGTTATATTAGCTAGCCATCACTCATGCAACCTCTTCGCATGAGCGATAATTTGAATAGAATAATAAATTAACAAAGTCATGCACATCCTGATCTGATAACACTAAATTAATCACAAACTGAGAGAGGCAGAGAGCCAGATAGCTATAGAATATACATGCAGTTAGTTTTCTATCAAAACAACAAGATAGCCACAAAACCAAACATCAGCATGCTTGCATGACTTCATTTTTATTATAAAATGCTAATTAGCAAAACAAAATCCACTTGGTGATTGGTTTGTGTAACCTATGACGAGTGAAACATTGAATTATAATGAAATATGGTCAAGCAATATCCACCATATATCAACAAAATAGAGATAAGCTTTCTTACAGGTTTCCAAATTAAGATCTATGTTTTCTTTTCTTATTTTAACGGTAAGGTATGGTTAGACCGATAGATTTAGTCTAATAGTTGCGTATCTAATTAGTTTAGTTTTCATAGTAAAGTAAGATTTAAATTTCAATGATTCTTAAGTTTTATATATATATATATAGATAGGAAAGAACTACCTCTATTGTATAGTTCAAAAATCCATCGACCTTCGATAAATCAAAAAATAGTAAGGTATCCTTTCAAAACTAGTTAAGTTGCTTCTCAATTAATGGAGTCTTAAGTAGGCAAACTAATCAGAATTGTTGCATGCATTCACAAGAAATTAATTTCTTGCAATGGTATGTGTTTGAGTCAAAAGAAGATAGGATCGATGTGTGTGAAGGGAAAGGAAGAGGAATAAACAAGGTGCCTACTTAGATTTATGTACATTCAAAACGAAGGAATGGATAGATCCACCTTTAATTTGCTCCATTATTAGATTTTCAAATCCAACCAATTTGCAAGGATTGGGAAAGGTTGAGAACATAAATTGAGTGGTGTTTTTAATTTTAAATCTTTTTTTATTTTTTGGATGAATGAAAAGCTCTCATTAATGAAAAAGGAACCAAAGTATATAGGAGCTTGTCCCTACCTACAAAGTAATGGGAAAAAAAAATACTTCTTTCATCTAGATTTTCTATTCTGTCTACTTACAAAACTAACAGAAAAGTCAGAGTAATGAGCTATCATCTACCGTTCCTCCTCTCCAACTTCTCTTACGTTTCATCGTTCCAACTGAAGAGTGTAAATCCATTGTCGCTAATGGCTATCAGCAACGAAAAGATGGTAGCTGCCACGTGTTAGGCTCATGATTCAATAATCAACGGAATTATCATTGGTGTCACTATGACTCTATAGCAATTAATCTAGGTTTCCATATATTTTCCGTCAAGAAGTTTACATAAAACAAAACTAAACATATACATGGTGCATTCCTTAACATGCTTTTCCTGTTTCCCTCCCTTTGTTGCATCTCGCTTTCAATAGAATACCACCCCATAAAAATAAAATAAAACAAAACAATAACAGCTCAGTGACTGATGAAGACTGAAAACTCACTCATGTGCACGAGGCAAAGATTCCCAACTGACAGTAATTAGTTCCTCCACCATCCGAACTAAATGATCTTTACAATAGACAAAATTGTAGTCATATGATATCACGAAAATTTTCCATCAATATGTGATATCGATGTATTTGGGTGTACCAAGCTAGCTAGCTAATCTATAGAGCAATTACTTCCTGCATGATCATAAAAAAAGAAGAAGAAGATATCCATCAGCGGAGCCCTTAATCTACATTTTTTCGCTAGCCTATATAAATCCTTCACTTTGATTAGTGATACAGCATCATATTCCCCTCTCTTTATTTACAGTCGCCCAAATATCTACATACATAGAGATTAACTGAATGAATTCATGTGAAGTATACATATATGTATAGTCATGGACTCATGAAAGATATGTATCTTCCTCCAATCCTTTTGTGAAACCAAGAATCATTGTAAACATAAATTACTTTTATTGTTCTAGAAATGCTAACAGGTTCTTATACACACGAGTCATAAGAAAATGAGTAAACACAATATTCACTTGCCTAGTGATCTATAAAGGTATAGGAGAAAGTAATTACTTGATGAGCTTTGGCATCCCAAATTATAATCAATTGGTCAAAGAGTTTGCTAAGGAACTCCCTCGACTAATTAGCCAAAAAGGCTCATTCGCGTGCACCAACTTGTATAATCTCTGAAGGAAAAGCTGCTACATAAATATGACCTGAAAATCAACATTTTAATAAGAAAAAAGAGTCCTGAAGGAAAAGCTGCTACATAAATATAACCTGAAACAACATTTTAAAAAAGGAAGAAATGATCCTAGAGCTATATTTTCTCCTTTGAATCCAAAAAAGAAAGAAAGAGGATATTAATATAGAGTGCAAGAATTATTATAACAAAATAAAAATAAGAAATTTAGAGTACAGAAATTAATAGTCCTTTGAGACCGTTCTACATAACGTTTGTGGCTGCAGTTTTGATGCATTAAAAGTTGAGAATAAACATTGTATTGAAATAAAAATCACAAGATTTTTGGACAATATATAGAATCTTTTATATATTCAGTGATTCCCTCAAAAACTAAGCTGTGGTTTGACAGAAATGCCACACCTAAAATTTTAAGACAGAGACCTAGCTAGCTCTAATGATACTGATAATTTTGATCTTGCATTAATTCATAAAAAGTTTTCTGTAGAAACACCAGCTTATGGATTCTCACTTAGTTGGCAACAATTAATCACCAAGCAAGCAGAGTATGCAAGTGAAAACTACTGGAGTTCATGATAAATCTACACAATTTATTCATTGAACCAGCAGCTTGAGATATATTAAAGAAATATTACCTTCATGGTTTTGGCTAGATATTTAACTTGCACTCCACCTTTGATCAAATTGAAGCTTATTTGGTGTTCAACAGTAAAGAAGAATGGTCATATATTTGCCGATGCAGCATCATCAAGATTCCCATCAGAAAGGAACCGTTCGAGTAAAGGCGGTGACCATGTACCACCCCGCTCCCTCGAGCCTTTAAGTTTGTGAATCTTGATCATGCCGCTTCCGCCAATATAGACTGATGGTCTTGATCAGATCTTTCAGATGAGTATGTATATTAATGGACCAACCCTAGCTAACCCTAAGAGAAAATAACCCATGAAGTGAAAGTAAAGAAAGGAACGAAATTTGAATGACCTAATAATCACAGGAAACAAACCCACCTGAATAAATCATTGTGAAGCTGTATAGGAGAGACCCATTATAGGTTAGACCAAAGGAAAAAAAAGAAAGGAAAAAAAGGAATGGTAAAAACAGATGTAACTCACAAACTGACCAACAAAAGCCTTGTACCCTGTTTATTATCGACTTATACATATCTTAGACTTAATTTGTTGGAACATGTAAAAAAAAAAATTGAAAACGAGGATCACAAGAAACTTTGTGAGAGATTGCCGTGAAGGCATGGATCGATGAAGAAAGCAAAGGTTATAAATATAGAGATCGATAGAGTTTGAAAGAGGGGATTAGATAATTAATTAATCTGTAAAGATGATTCTTCAGTTTTGAGAGTAGGATAAGAACCCGCGAGATCATGCTTCAAATCCTCTTCTTTTTTTTTTTTTTTTGTAAGGATTTTTCTTTGTCATCCGTTATGGGCGGCCACCTTACTAGGCTCAAAATTCTTATTTAACTAATACTCATGTGGAATTGGTTCTGTATATATTCGAAATTGAATTTCAGTTATTATTAGTAAAATAATAATAACAATAATAATTGATTGGACTTAAATATTTAATAAATCAGCTGGATCAAATGCAAGTTAATGATCAGCAGTACCAGAATAAAAATACTCCGAGGAGTGATCCATACGTTCCCACTGCTTTTCCGTCTACAGGTGTCTAGAAAGGAACTGGTAAGATCTATCTTTTTTTTTTTTGTTTCCTGGCTAAGCAATTTGTAAGATCTCCCAAAAAGAAAATGACAAAGTTATGCTGGAGTGGTGGCTTTCAGGATTCGTGAGAACTAAATTTTCCTTTTCATAAAGTCGATACCCAGGCTTTGAAGATGAGTAAATAACCGAATACTATATACGAAGATACTAAGGATTAGACAAAAGCATTCCATGTGGATTGTGGGGGCGAACGCAGAGGGATCTGACCCCAGATATCTAATGCTGCTTCCTCCAATGATTTTTGGATTCTTGCGTACCACACTTCGCTTTTCAAATGCCTTCGCTTTTCAATTTAGACCCATTCACCTGAAATTTTTTTGTGAACCTAGCTAGCAGGATCATTTAAAGATGAATAGGCGTGTTTGATGATATATATATATATTCTAAATGGGTCAATTTTTTCTGAATTTTTGATAAATTTAAAAACTAATTTTTGAATCTTTAATTTTAGATTTGACTTTTTTTTTTAATTTTATTTTTAAGATTCAGTCCATATTTTAGTTTTTTGTAAAAAATAATAGTTACATAAATAGTATCATGATAAAAATCATTCAATAAAATTTACATAGAGCTTTTCAAAAAATTTAGGATTATTTCAAATTATTTTTTTATTTTTCTCGATTCTTTACATTTTTTATATTAAAAAATAAAACCATATTACTTCCCAACTTTGAAGATTTTTGGGATTTTTTTTTCCAAAAATGTATTCGATATTTTTCAATGATCGTGCAAAACTTCATCTCAAAATAACAAGAATTGAAATTTTTAGAGGAAAGCGATAACTAGAGATGGATTAAATCTAAAAATAAATAAAATTAAGAAGAGATCAAATCCAAAATTAGAAGTTTCAAAATTAATTTTTAAATGAATTAAAGTTCAATTTTTTTGGGGCCAATTTAGCCTTATTTATTTTCTTCCACAAAGGAGATTTTGGAATTCAAGAAATTCAATTTAGATGACTTTTCAATTCCGTTTATAAGCAACAACTTATTTTTATTATTTTTGGGTTTAATATATACTTCCTAAAAAGTTTGTTTTTAAACTAACCTTTTCTTTTCTTAATGGTAAAGATATCTCCATGCCAACTTGTATATCAATCGAAACTAAAAGTTTTTTAATTTGAAAAATTATAAGAGTGCAACTAAATCCTTTTTTGAATGACTTGTAAGGGCGTATTTTTCATATCGGTCTATTGTATTCAGATGAATTTGATAAATTCTCCTAGATATTGAACATAAGATTTGAATAAAAAAATCATGTAAGAAAGCAAATCTTTTTAACCACCATGCCAATCTCTTAAATTTTATATTTTTTTAACTAACTTCATCTACATATGTTGAAAGATTTTAGATAATTTTCGTTGGAGAGTTTCAATACGAAGACTCTCAACTAACTCGCATAATGCATCGAAGAACATTACTTTCAATCTAAAAGTCTAATTATGAATTATATATATGCAATTCATTTTTCTCATGCAATTTCTCTACAATTTCCTCCTCGCATGTGCTTTTAATCCACATGAAATATAACTTCCATTGTAACAAAAACATCTTTAATCATCTGAGCATGGAGTCATTAAAGCTTGGACTTAGCTCTCTTCTCAAAATTCTAAAACATTTCAGTTATGAGTTAGTTTTTATATGTGAACCTCTCTGTTTTTTTTTTTTTCATTTTTAATTTATATTGTATTCCATTCCCATTGCATCCTAATAGCAGGAAGAACATCTTTGCATATTACTAAGAAATATTTTCAATTAATAAAGTAATTCTTTTTACAATTCTTCCTATGCTCATAGTGACAGATTCATTCATGCTAGTATAAAAGAATCTATAATTTTATGTGAAAACTTATAATTATTCATATTAAATGGGAGGTTAACGATATTGAGCTCTTTGTAAATACAAGAAAATTTCAAATCTTAGTATATGAATTATATGAATTAAAAAAATGCTTCAATGTATGAAGAGGTTAGAGCAGATCCCTTAACTTTGAAGTAGCAATCATTTCAATCTCTATTAATTGTAATAACATAATTTTTTTATCCCATTAATTACTAGATAGTAACACTAACTTTTTTGCCTAACAACTATTTCTAAGTTGGTGAAAAATATATATAGACACACACACACACACACACACTTATAAGCAACTATCCTTCTTTTCAAATTTGAAAAGAAAATCTAGATTTTGCTTATAACTTATAATGATAACAACTTTAATGTATATCTCTCTCTTTTTATTGAAAAGAATTACAATGTTTATATATCTTGTTTGCTTCTTTTCATGTAAAAAAATAAGTTTTTTTATTCTCAAATTACTAAGTTTATAATAATCATTTAAACCTTATCTCTATGTTACATATTCTTGTATTCGTAGGTTCAAATATATGAGAAATTTTTTGGGATGTAATTTATTGTATTCAAGTTTTATTAGTCAAATTAACATATAATGTGTATTATGAGTGAGGGACTCGGGTGATACGTGTTACCTCCCTCTCTTCCCATATGAGCCTCGAAGAATACATACTTCATCAAGCTAATAACACACAAGGCTTCTAAGGGTCGATCATCCCTTAAAAACTATCCATCTCTTGAGGAAAGCACTAAAGCCCTCATAACTAGGGTTACTCAACCCTAACAAGAAAAGTCAAGCTTACCATCCTATACAATTATAAAAAAGAAAAAATGTTTAATAAACATGATTTTTCAAGACAACCTTAGTCAAATCAACACTCATCATAGCAATAATGGTGCTATAAAATAGTGAATCACATCATGTGCGTAAACCACCAAAAACTATCGACCAAAGTCATTAACATTAATTAGATTGGATGATTCTACCCTTTATAGTATCCAACTTGCCAAAATTTCACCTATATAAGAATCCTAACTACAAAGGGTTCTATATTCCCAACTTCTCACACTTCTTTACACCTCTAAAATACTTACTTGTTCATCTTTGTCTTTACTTATGCATATATAATGTTCTTCAAAATCCTAACCGAGTCATTTTGCTACTTTCTAACCATTAAGTTGATCATTAGAAAATCTCTTAATCAACTAGAGTTACTTGTCTTGTAAGTTCACGGCGTAGATAATTACAAGGCATTTTAGCTATCTATACCATTCATATTCATCTATAACAAGCCATGTCACTCTTATTTTATTAGAGGAGTTCTTACAAACTCATCGGTTAATGTTATTTATGGGGAACTAAGTAAAAAATGTATTTCTCTCATCTCCATACAACATATTTGTATTATCTCTAAGGTTGATTATGATTGATAATTAAAAATTCTAAGTCGTACAACCCCTCTAGATTTTTCCAATCTTAGTACTTAGCATGTGGACATTATTCAACTGTATTAGTATGTTCAATACCTCATAAAAGCATTTCGATAGCCTAAGCCCAAATTAAAGCATTGACCTTATCGCCACAAATATCACCTCATCTTTTACCTTTAGAATTTCCTTGTTGCTATGATTAATACCACATGTAGAAAAGGCTTTATCTCTCTCTCTCTATACAAACCAATATGACCACCATTTACTTGATGAAGTGCGAAAGGATGTAATGGTGCAAAACCAAAGAATGAGGACATCACCTTCTTTCGAACTCGACGGGCGTCATGCTCGTTACCTTAGGAAAGAAACATTGAGCCAAGGGTCTTGTATGGGAAAGAGGGAGAAGAAAGATCAAAACACCATCATGATGCTAAAGTGTTCATAGTGTTAGCAACGATCAACATTAAAGACACTACGAAGCTCCTCCTCATCAAATACTTCCTCTATAAGCTTTAAACCTAAGCATTATTGCACTAAAAGAAAACCCGATATCTTTTATCGATTGCATTCTAACCACTCGTAGACAAAATCCTTCCAATTAGAGATAGAAAAGACTAAAGGACACGAGAGGGTCCTTGGTGAAGGTCCTTACTAAGAAAGAAATAATCATGGCTCAATAATCGAAGATGGTTTGAAAGTTGACGGTTGTGACCATGGAGGTGTATATTCTTAGGAAAGGGTAGCCTACCTAGACAGCTTGAGGGACCACCCTACTATATTTGGGATAGGTCAAGCTTCAATCTTTCATCCCGTATATGAGCCTCTAATAGCTTAAGGGCTCATTCACTAGGCTTTTCTTTCTTCTTTTATGAGAGGGTGCTCCTATTTGTTGCTACTTTTTTTTTTTTTTTAATTTCAAAGAGCAAGTTTGGTGTAAAAGTTTGGAGAAAGTTTGGTAGAAATCACGGTTTCGAAATAGATTCATGTTGTGTCTTTTTTGTGATTACCTTATAATTTGGTTCATAAGTCTCTCTTTTGTAATCTTGATTTGATTATAATAATATTATGGATTATGTACATCTTGTAAGGCTACGAACTAGAACTATAAAAAAAATTCTTATTTCGATTTTAAAACCATGTTGTCTTCTAACGGAATCACTTCGGATCCTTATGGGCTTTTTTGAGTCCTCTAATATGATCCTTCATTTAGCTAGTTGGATCTCTTGATCATGGTGATTCCTCTAAGAGTAAGAAACTTTAAGAATAAGTATTGTATACGGATTACACACCAATTTCATATTATAGAGATCTTATAAAAATATCATTGTACTTTAAATGTATCTTTACAATTATGAAAATCGATCTACATTCATATTGTTTATAAGGATATGATATATGGTCGAAGATAATAGTAAAGATGAGTAAGGCATAATCATGAGGGCAAGTCATACATTATGGGCTTGAAAACATCCCAACTCTAATGGATAAGAACACTAATTGATTACATTATGTAAGCCTAGAGTCTTTAGGTGAGTAAATGATGGGCTCCTAGCTTGGCGTTGCGGATCTGAATGGTGGTAAAGATTATGGTTTTTTTTTAGTTCTTGCTTTCTAGTAGAATCTAACTCCACCTAACTTCTCTTATAATATGATCGTAATCTCGAAC